AGGACTCAACCAGAACTAAACCAGGACTAAACCAGAACCGAACCAGAGCCGAACCAGAGCAAAGCCAGGACTAAAATCGGATTAAACCAGGATTAAAACCGGTCTAAACCAGGATTAAAATAGGAGTAAACCAGGTCTAAACCAGGACTAAACCAGCACTAAACCAGGGCTAAACCAGGGTGAACCAGGACTAAACCAAAAACAAAACAAAATGTCTAATTGCAGAACAGATCTTTTGAGTTGGGAAGAATATTAAAATATAGTTTATAATGTGTTCAGTTACTTGGTCCATCACATTCTTTTATCCCCGAACTCGCACTTCCGGGATTCTTGCAAACCGTCTAGTATATTCCGATTCCTGATCTAGTCGCTGGAGAGAAATTAAATTGAGCAGAGGAACTACGTGGGTCCAGCTTGGTTAATGTGAACGACCTCGCAAAGAAATCGGGTTTCACAAAAAATCCGAATTGAGCATTAAGCCGTGCAGTCTGAACATTGTGAAAATATGATTATATACGATCAACAACAGCATGCACACAGACATAGAGTAAAATCCCGGACCACAGTCTTCTCCATTACCTCCAGAGCAGACCAGAACACGTCTCCTCACACTTCATTTGTGGCGTATTAGTTCCACTCGTACCAAGGGGACCAGTGTTAATTACTATTTACAGATCACAACTTCAGAAGGGTGAATAATTGAGACAACCCAGCTCAGCCTATAAACACCAATTTATGCAGCATTCCTCTCATCTTCCATCTCCCATCCTCTCCCATGTTCTGCTCCTCCCACTCCTAAACCCAGCTCCCCATTTTGTCCTCGTTCCCCCATTTTCATCTCTCTCTATTCTTCCTCCTACAATGATATCATAATGAAGCGCGCTAAGCTGCTAACGGAGAGGTGATTAAAACTCGGCCGGCTTCTCCTCCGCGTAGCCTTTCCCATAGTTCGCTCTGGTGCGGACGGTGCGTTATTTATCCCGGCTTTTGTATTAGCCCGATAGCTGCTACAGAGAGTGTGGTGAGGATGGCCGCTGCACTCCCAGTGGAATATGTGGCCTACATTTGTTTGTGGTGCAGTGCGTGGCTCCCGGTGTTTGCACGTTTCACATTTATGGGGTTTGTGTAGATTTTAGGGTTGTCAAAAGTATTGAAAATGGGGTATTAATCGATTCTGGAGCTAGTATCGAAGCGAGATACTCCTTTGTGCAGGTAGCGATACTAAAAAAGTCAGATTAACAGAGGAGAAATTAAACTTTCCTGAAGCGCTTTAGAATAATCTTGAGCTGTATCAGATCAAGTATAAGAGCACATAGACTAGTACACAACCATGGGTCACTATGGAACCTACCTGGACCACTGAAAAAAAGAACTTGTAAGATTTACTAGAAAAAAAATCCTCGTAACAATTTGCACTAGCACTTTTTAAGTAAATTTTACTGCTGTAATATCAGGTACAATTTACTTGTCAGTATTAAGTAAAATGTACTTACCATCACGTTGAAGAGTCCTGAATTAAATTTTTACTCATTTTTTTAAAGTTAGAAGTCATATTTATGTTTACACAAGAACGCTTGGGGGTAAAAACAACAAAATATTATCAGAAGTGCTTTTTGTTTAGACACTGACGGCGTTTTTGGAGCTGAAAAACGCAAAAATCTAAAACCACCCTCCAGAGTGGAAAAGTCGAATACGCTCCGCTGTAGTGTTTCCGTTTACACTGCCCAAGACGCAAAACTCTGGTCAGATCTGCTCACATCACGTACACGTTTACGTCACATACATACAGGACACAGAAACAAACATGTCAGATCATTTCCATGCATCGGACCTTCAAGCTTCTCTGGCAGCTCTAATAAACTTACAGGAGGCATCCCAACAAATGTACAGAATATGCAGAGATAACAGAGATAAGATGGCGGTGTTGTGTGATAGTGTATCACAGCACCACCTGCGTACACGTTTACGTCACATACATCACCCGAGCCGCCTGACATGCATACCCAATCTAATTCCACACTCTTTTGGGTCACCGTATGCACGCAGATTTCCTCCCGAAAACACTCGTCTAAACGTGGAACAATTGCATTTTTTGATCTATAATAAATGGTAGGTAGGGAGGACATTAAAAACTCTTCAGAAATGTTTTTGACAAGGGAACAACATTACAACTAGCCAGGCTGGTACCACCTAGTCCCTCTGCTCAGTTTCATTTCTCTCCAGCGACTAGGTCAAGAATCAGAATACACTAGACCCGGAAGTTGTAGACCGCGCACCGACCAATCAGAGAAGAGCTGTGAAGCCATGACGTCAAACTCAAGCGCCTGTCTGGGTCCCTTTTGTGGTACAGCACAACAGTAAACAAAGCGTTCGAGAAGGACGTAGACGAAGACAGACATTCTGTGTTGGCAAGGATTCCCAAGATCGAGGATATAAAACCGGAAAAAAGAGAATGTTTGATGAATTTTATGAAGGTTATTGCCCTTCTTCCTACGGGATTTGGTGCCTTACATATGTCACGACCAAATAGCAGCGATTGGTTGAATAAAAAAAGTACCCGCCTACCGTAAAGTGAACGAATCCTAATGCTGCGACACAAAAGTGAAACCAGCTGATGAATCAGACTAACATTATACCATGGTAGAAAGCTCAAAAAGGTGCACTGTGTAACTTTTCTGGTGGAGCTGCTGTCTAAACCTTTTCTCCATAGAGATATTATTACTTTGACTGGCATGTTACACAGTATGACGTTAAACTACTTTCTATCTTCATGGAGACCAGACCAGACCAAGTTACAGGTCAGATCTGTGGAGAGGCGACCCTGCTCACAGTCAGAACAGGTATTTTTGAGCTATAAAACCACCTGTAATTGACTACATGTAAGTTAGAGCTGTTTATTAATGTCATACCGTGGAACATTCCAGGCAGAGCAGTGACATATCCATAAAAAAACAAGCTGGTAAGAGACAACCAACCAAAAAAATTACACATTGCATCTTTATTTATGATCTGTTTACACGTCTTTCACCACAACTTGAGCTCAAATGGATTTTTAGGTTGTATGTTGTTACTAAGAAGTGAGTCGTTGATTTGTGGTTCAGTCAAACGCGCGCACACACAGCTATAGAGTCTCACATACCGGCTTCATACAGTGGGGTCACCTTCTCCGGCTTCATTACACTTGCCTTTATTGTGGCTGCTGACAGATGCGCCTATAAATCACCGGCCCCTCCTGCACCGCCAGAAGATCTAAACCCACCTCCCAACGCTCAGAAGAACAGAGATATGAATCACGGCAGAGATGGTGATGGAGACGCACGCATCAATGCACGCTTTGACTATCCATAGCTAATGTAAGACCGCAGTTAAAGGGGTCACGTTATGCTATTTTCTGATCTATGTTATAATGTTGTTTCTTCATTAGAATCATTTGGATTATTTCTGCCCTGGAATTGCCAATTTCTTGTGAACAAAAGGTAAAAGGAGCTGTTAACTTGAAAACTACCGCTACATGACATCACGGGGTAGAACAGAGCATTTTGAGCTTTGGAGATGTAGACAAACTGATAAAAGTGTTACTCAAATGTGTGAAAGAAACAAAACACAACTTCAGGTATGTTTTCAGGAGATAACAGCATTATAACATGTAATATAGGACCATAGACATTGACATTATCACTATGGTACAGTAAAGATAAAACAACAGTAAATTTGTTTTTCCATGGATTCCGCAAGTTTACTCTTTTGTTTTTTATATCACAGTAGCTGCGGGGTCTTAAAAGTCTTAAAAAGATCTTAAATTTCATGTTCCTAAATTAAGGCCTAAGTTATGTTGTCCAAGTCTTATTTTTTTCACAAAGGTCTTAAATTTCATTAGCCTATTTTTTGTATACTCAACCAGGCTGCAGTGAAATGTTAAATGGAGGGAGAAAAAAAAACAACAACAACAACATGTGTGAATAAACGTCCAATTTGGAGTATGCACAAACAATACTTAGTTTGTCTTGTTAGAATGATATAAATAATTCTTTGGCTGTTTTACAAGCAATGCTGAATGAGAGTTTATAATAAAAGCATTTTTGTTATTTCAAGTCGTGAGTAATGGTCATTATTAGAATTGGATCTGGTGTTTTTCGCCCGCGTAATGGCTGTGATGTTGGTCTTAATTTTCATTTAAATGGTCTTAAAAAGGTCTTTAAAAAGTCTTAAATTTGGGGTAATCAAACGATCAAACCAGGACTAAAACAGGACTACACCAGGACTGAACCAGGACTACACCAGGACTAAACCAGGACTGATCCCAGGACTAAAACAGGATTACACCAGGACTGAACCAGGACTAAAACAGGACTACACCAGGACTAAAACAGGACTGATCCCAGGACTAAAACAGGACTAAACCAGGACCCGATCTCAGGCCTGGTCTGGTCCTGATCTGGTCACGGTCTCAGTCCCAGTCTGGTCCAGGTCTGGTTCTGATCTCAGTCCTGATCACCCGACAGTCTACGCGGGCGCACCTCCAGGCCTGTCCCGTCCTGGTTCAGTCCTGGTTCAATCCTGGTTTAGTCCTGGTTCAGTCCTGGTTTAGTCCGGCATTGCAGTTTAAGTCACGGAAATGGGAAATGTTTCCGTTATCCGTTTTTTCCATTATCAAAAACTGAAAAAACTAATCGTTATCCGTTTTTTCATTTTGGTTTTGGAGACAAATAATGAAGAAAATAGTTGTTTTTTCATTTTTCTTATTTTTGGTTTTATTTTGAAAAACAAATAAACGAATGATACACGGATTAACACGGACCCTTTAAGAAAACTGCACTGGCTCATCACCTTCCACTTTGCATTAGGATAACTATGAACCACCATAACCACAAGCGCCTCTAATTACAGTATTATCTATCTGACCCAGCGCTTTATAACTCATTGCACCACACGTATTTCCAAAGTTCAAAGGTCAGGGCTCTCAAAGTCCAGCGGTTTGTGGGTGATAGGATGGTGTGCGGATGAGAGGAGAACCGCAGAAGAGTGGAGTCATGGGGAAGAGTACAACGACGCTGGAAAAATGCCTCATCTTTCTGTTCGTGGGGATGACCTGCGCCTGCGTTGGGCTGGTCGTGGTCTACTTCACCGACAAACCTGAGCCCACCAATGAAGAACGTAAGTGTGGATTTTTTAAAACTTTGTAAATAGAAGATATACATAGAGATACTAGTGCGTACGTGGAGTGCAGGTGCAGTATTTGTTGGATTATCATGTTGTTTTTAAGGTGCACTGTGTAACTTTTCACCATGGAAATGTTGGTTTACCTGGAATTTTTCACAGTATGATATTAAACTTATTATGTGTGCATTGTGTAACTTTTCTGGTGGAGGGCCCATCAGAGGCTTTTGTTATTGCTTTGTTTGGAATATTCCACAATATAACAAAGATTTGTACGTCGTGACTTGGACTCGAGTCAGACTTGAGTCACTATTTTTAGGACTTGAGGCTTGACTTGAGAAAATGAACTAAGACTTGGGACTCAACTTGGATTTGAAGGTCAGTGACTTGGGACTTGACTCGGACTTTTTAAATCTTTAAATCTGAATTCTTTCTATTCTGACTTTTATGTTTCATTCTAAGATCTTGTCAAAACATTTAAAAAGGAAAAATTAGCATTTCTACAACTCTTATAAACTTTATAAATATCATATATAAAAATACCATGATTTTTTAAGTACAGTTTAGTTTAAAATTCATATAAATTGCAAAAATCTAAGCTATATTTGGTACTTTGGTTTAAAGACTTGAAATGACTTGAAGCTCAAAGCAGACGACTTGGACTTGACTTGGACTTATGGGCCAGCAACTTGAGACTCGACTTGGACTTGCATGTCTTTTACTTGGAACTTGACTTAAACTTGAGGTCAAAGACTTGAGACTTACTTGAGACTTGCAAAACGACGACTTGGTCCCACCTCGGGTATGACATTAAACAGATCTACAGTACATTTATTCAATTACAGGTGGCTTTATTGCTCAAAAATACCTAGAAATACAAGCATTCTGACCATGAGCGGGGTCGCCTCTCCACAGACCTGCAAGAAAGCTTGGCCAAAATTTACAATATAAACACTTAAATAAATCGAAAAATTACTTAAAAGTAGTGTAATTATCTGTCCATGCAGCAAGATGATGAATTTTACAAGTTATCTTAAAATAAATTACCTCTAGAATTAATCAGTCTCAGAACTAGTAAGTAGATAATAAATCTGAAAACAAGATGAATAACCTGATATAAATTTAAAACCTTGGCCAGATTAGAGAAATTTGCACTGGTTTGGTCTCCATGAAGATAGAAAGGTTTAATACCGTACTGTGAAACATTCCAGACAAACCAATAACATTTCCATGGAGAAAAACATTTCACTGACCCTCCACCAGAAAACTTACACTAAGCACATTTAAACTTAGATATTTCCACGGAGACAAGCACCAAGCCAAATTACAGCTCCAGTTTGTGGAGAGGTGGACCTGCTTACAGTAGAATACACATTTTCAAGGTTTTCTTTTATGTTATAAGAAAAAAAAACACCTGTAACTAAACAATAAGCAAGTTTAATGTCATACTGTGGTACATTTCAGTAGGGCTGAGTATCATTAAGAAGTTGCCGATACGATACATACCTCGATACAGCACACTTGCAATTCAGTACGATTCAAATTGATTCAATACTTTTTAAAAAGATAAAGGCTAAATCATGGCTGTGATACTAAAATTCTTTGTTAAACCACTTCTTGTGCAAAAATAATAAGAAACACAAACATTTTAATCATCAAAACAGTGAAAATGTCAAATGTGTCACATAAACAAACAATTTCCTTCCTTGTATCAAAATAATTTAGTAAAATATACCAAAAAATACTCTTGGCGATATAATATAAATAAAATAAATAACAATACTGTATCACAGAGGTGGGACCAAGTCGCTGTTTTGCAAGTCTAAAGTAAGTCTTTGACCTCAAGTCTGAGTCAAGTCCCAAGTCAAGTACAGGCAAGTCCAAGTCGAGTCTCGAGTCACTGGCCCATAAGTCCAAGTCAAGTCCAAGTCGTCTGCTTTGAGCTTCAAGTCATTTCAAATCTTTAAACCAAAGTACCAAATATAGCTTAGATTTTTGCAATTTATATGAATATTAAGATACATTGTACTTAAAAAAAAAATCATAGTATATTTATATTGAATATTTATTGAATATATAAGAGTTGTAGAATTTAATTTTGTTAATTTTTTTCCTTTTTAAATCGACATGACAAGATCTTAGTGTGAATCATTATGGCCAGAATAGAAAGAATTCAGATTTAAAAGTGCTTCTCAAGTCATTGACCTTCAAGTCCAAGTGGAGTCCCAAGTTTTAGTCCATTTTATCAAATCAGGTCTCAAGCCCTAAAAATAGTGACTCAAGTCTGACTCGAGTCCAAGTCCTTGCAAGTCCTCACCTCTGCTGTATCATGACATTAAACAATACGACATATCAATATTTCGATACTTCAGTCAAAGCAATCTCCACAGCGTATCTCCATGGACACAACTAGGTGCTGAACTCTAACCAGAAAAGTTACATAGTGCACCTTTACGTATTTCAACATTGAGGAAAAGAAAATATACGTGCTCATGTGTATGGTTGTGTGTTGTTTTTAGAATAGTACTTGAACAATTGATAATCTCGACTCTTGGTAATATCTGTTTAATATACAGTATTTTTGTGTCAGTTTCTCTATAAACACTGAATATATCAACATTTTCAGTCTTTCCTCCAACCTGCTCAGGGACTACAGGTGTAAATGATTCTTATATAACCTTGGACCCATGATTTTTGTTTTGGGTCATGTATTGTTGTCCACTGCCCCTGTACAAATAAAAACATAGTGAGATATAATAATTTATCTCACTGACTGTATGGAAACAAATTGTTACTCCCGGGTCACATTACGGCTCTTTGGTTGACTCTGACCGACCCGTTTAAGCTCATTTGGAATTACAAAATAAATATTTTTTTTATTTTACCTCATGCATGGACTAAAGCTGCGTTGCTTTTATTTTAGAGGTGTTTTTATGACATTTTTTTAAGTTAATCTCAGTTTTTCATTGCTTAGTGATAACATAAACTCTTACCAGCTTGTCAAAAGAATGCTATTTACAGCTTTTTATAAAGAAATGCAATTAATATTCAGTGTTAGGAGTAACAAATTACTGTAATGCGTTGCTTTTTGTTGTAACACAATAATGTTACAGGATTGCAGGGGAAAAATGGTAATATTTAACTCAGTATAAATGTCAGTAACACGCGTCACAATGCTTTTTTAACCTGGATTAAAATGGGTTTTTCATTTTCTTCATACAAATTTGCTAAAATCACGGCGATATCAGCAGCAGTGAAGCGCCATTGTTACGGTTCCGAATGTCGGGACGAACACGGAGGTGCGCCAGTGTAGACCGTCGGGTGACCGCGATCGGTGCAGAACTCCGCACTCTACGGAGCAAAGCACAGCTGACGCCCGATCACGCTTTGTGGACGCCCTGCTCCACAGGCTTGGAGTTCTCCCAGGGGCGGTCCTAGATTCCAAGTCCTAGTCCAAGATTAGTCCTGGTTTGATCCTGGTTTAGTCCTGGTTTAGTCCTGGTTTAGACCTGGTTTAGTCCTGGTTTAGACCTGGTATAGTTCTGGTTTAGTCCTGGTTTAGTTCTGGTTTAGTCCTGGTTTAGTTCTGGTTTAGATCTGGTTTTTGACCTGGTTTAGTCTGGTTTAAACCTGGTTTAGTCTGGTTTAGACCTGGTTTAGACCTGGTTTATTCCTGGATCAGTTCTGGTTTAGACCTGGTTTAGACCTGGTTTCGTCCTGGTTCAGCTCTGGTTCAGTTCTGATTTAGTCCTGATATAGTCCTGGTTTAGTCCTAGTTTAGTCCTGGTTTAGTCCTGGGTTTGTCCTAGTTTAGACCTGCTTTAGTCCTGGTTTAGTTCTGGTTCAGTCCTGGTTTAGTCCTGGTTCAGTCCATATACAGTTCAAAAGTTCTGCATCTTCGCACAGTTATTTTGGTGAGAGTAACATAAAGTGCTGCAGTAGTCGTGTAATGCCTCATATTTTAAACACAGTAATATTGTAATGTAACAAATTACTCTGAAATGACATTAACAAGTAATAAATAACACATTACAGTTTTAAAGTAACTTGCCTAACAGTGTTAATATTATGCAGAATTGAGTTAAGCAGTGGCCCCATGGAAAAAATAACCCCTGTCATATACAGTAAGAGATAAGATAAAAATAACTCTATATCAGCAAGAAAACTCTTATCTTAAAACCATACAGATCTCAATATAACACAATGAGTAACTAACTTGGGCCTATTAATAGTGCACTGTGTAATTTTTTGGTGCTTATTTCTATGGATATGTCACTGCTCTGCCTGGAATGTTCCACAGTGTGACATTAAACAGATCTGCCTTACATTTATTCAATTACAGGTGGTTTTATTGCTAGAAAAACAGGCATTGTGACTGTGAGCGGTGTAAAACGGACCCTTTAAACACATTTGAATTCATCACCATCCTTGAACTCAGGAAAAAAATATGAAAAAATCTTATATTTACAGCTACACACGGCGCCTGCAGCTTCCTCTACAGCACCTTTTCCTCTGTCTTGTGTCTTGAGGCCAATTTCACATTTCATTAGGAAAGCCTTTTTGTTATATCGGCGCAGAAGTGAAAGTGTTTGGTGTGAAATAGGGATGGCTGCTTGTTACCTCCTCGCCGCTCGCTCGCTCGTGTTTTGTCTCACATAATTGAAGATGTGGAATTATTTATTTTGCACCGGGCGACTCTTCAGTGAATGTGGCTAAACCAAGGTGCTTCGAGTATTAGCAGTCGTCCTCATTTACTGCAGTAAATAGGGCTGTGCAAAAACATCGTCACAATCGATATACTGTATTGTTTAAGTTATCATACAGTATCGATATCATGGGCTGCTGTATTAATATATTGCCAAGAGCTACAATTGTGATAACCAGGCTGGCCCCACCTAGTGCCTCCACTCAATATCAGTGATTAAATCAGGAATCTGAATAAACTAGACAGTTTACAAGAACCCGAGAAGTTATAGACCGTGCACCAGCCAAACAGCGAAGAACTGTGAAGCACAACAGTAAACAAAGCAGTCGAGATGGATGTAGAGGAAGACATACATTCTGTGTTGGCAACGATTCCCGAGATTGAGGATTTAAAACTGGAACAAAGAGAATGTTTGGTGAATTTTATCAAGGGGAAAGACGTTATTGCCCTTCTTCCTACCGGATTGGGGAAAAGCTTAATATACCAGTTAGCCCTGTTAGCGGCGCATTACATACATCACAACGAAATAGCTGCGATTGGTGAAATAAAAAAACTACCCGCCTACCTTCAAGTGAGTGAATCCTAATGCTGCAAAGTCAGACGGTTTCTACGCAGTGAAACTGTCTGATGAATCAGGCTGCAATTGCGTTGCTTGTTTGGAGAAACGTCATTTGTTTATGCAGTACATTTGACATTTTCACTGTTTTGATGAGTACTTTTTTTTTTTTTCCATATTAACTTTGTGGTTTAATAATGACTTAATATTACTAGCCTTAATGTTTTTACAAAACTGTATCAAATCCATTTAAAATACATCATATTTATCACTGAATAGGGATATAACAATAACCAAAATATCGTGATATTGTATCCTCAGAAGTCTCACAATAATATCGTGGACACAATATATCGAATTACAAGTCTCTCTGTTTAAATTCACTGTTATGGTGCAGCAACATCTAAAAAAAACAGAGAGAACTACATAGACCAGAGTCTTTAACCTGTAGCTCCGGAGCTACCAGTAGCTCTCCACCCATTCCAAGAAGCTCGTCAAGGGATTTCTGGATTATATGTATTATGTATATGTATGTAAATCTGATTAATTACCATTATAAATGTGTCATTTTGATGCCTAACTTGTGCACAAAGTAATGGATAATGATTCATGTTAAATAGGCATCTAACTGTACCCATCTAAGGCCCGCCAGCTCTTCTACTTTCTGGTGACCACTAAAATGAGTAGCCCTCTGACATTTTTGTTTTATAAAGGCAGCTCTCCAGAGGAAAGAGGCTGGACCCCTTGACATAGACCATGATCCTTTGGTGTTGTCAGTATCGACTTAACATTAATAACACTTTTAAATCTTAATTCTTCATATTACAACAGGACCATTATAACAGTGTCAACACTTTTGAAAGGAATAAGTAGCATATTCACAATTTTGTTATTGCAATAAATATCATACTGTGAAATGTATATCGTGAAATATTGTAGAGTTTTGGATACAATACATGCTTTAATACATAGGCCATGAATTGATACATATCTCGATACAGTGAGCTTATGATTCGATATGATTCGATACGATATATTTGGCCCGAGCCAGTAACAAAGTAACTGGTGAGGGCTATTGTTCTTCATCGGTTTCATCCGCTCTATTATTATTTTTCTTTGAAAACGATCACAATTTTGACCCCCTGAACATTGACAAAAAGTCCCCAAACCAGGTATCAGATTCGATCGGTCCTGCATGTAGAAATTGGCATGTTGGGGTGGTCGCAAGTTCCTGGCGGTCGCATGGGAGGGGACTGCGCACCGGGGCGAGGGCCCTCGTCGCCGCGCACGGATTTAATTCAATTTGATTTGATACGGTTCAATAAAAAAATAAAGGCTTAATCATGACTGTCATACTAAAAGTCTTTGTTAAACCACTTCTTGTGCAAAGTTAATATGAAAAAGCCCATTTTAATCATCAAAACAGTGAAAATGTCAAATGTGTCACATAAACGACTTTCCTTCCTCTAAACAAACAACAAAACTGTAGCTCTGTAACAAAATAAGTTTGTAAAATATACCAAAAAACGCTCTTGGTGATATATCAATACAGCAGCCCACGATATCAATACTGTATCATCACATTAAATTATACAATATTTCGATATTTCAGTATTTTTGCACACCCCTAGTTACTTCCCTAGTATTTGTATCAAAAGTGCACTGTATCGAAAACTGTATCGTGTCATGGCCTATGTATCGAGGTATGTATCATATCGTCAACTTCTTAATGATACCCAGCCCAAATTGTAAACATTAATAAAGATCTGTGTGCGTTGCAAAAACTAGAATCTATAGTTAAGAGTGTTGAGGTTTTGTAGTGCAAGTGAAATGTTTCTAAAGTTTTCTGTGATAAATTAGGTATTGTATTAAATTTCAACACAAAATATTGTTTCTTCTGAGTGGTGAAAAGTCCTCAAAATGGAAAGTAAAATAATGAGAGTGTGTGTTGTTAGTCCTGCCGTCGGGTTGTGGAGGTCCTCAGGAGTTGTCTGCAGAGTCTGGCACCTTCACCAGCTGGAACTACCCCAACAGCTACGATAATGGCAAGAGCTGCTCCTGGCACATCACCGTGGAGCCTAACAAGGTGACAAAAAACACACACAAACACACACACACACAGACATACACGTTCACGCAAACACACACAAAGACAAAGACAAAACCTTAAGCAGACATAAACAAACGTACGTACAGAAATGCATAGATAGAAACACACGCAGACACAGTCACACACACAGACATACTCACACACATAAACATACAAATACACAAACGCACACAAAGATCACTGGGAGATTATAGTGTACTATTATGTCCAGGATTAAAAAAAAAAAAACTGAATAGGACTTAGTTTGTGGTGCACTATGATGAAAAAAAAATAAAAAATTAAAAAAATTAAAAGGGAGTCTAAAAACTTTCTGAGGTGACTGTAGGAGCTTGTTGGTTTTTGTTAGGTTGTTAACTTCACATAGCCTGATTCATCAGTCGGTTTCACCTCGCAGCATTAGGATTCGTTCACTCAACTGTAGCTGGGTACTTTTTTTTATTTAACCAATCGCTGCTATTTGGTCGTGACGTATGTAATGCGCCAAATCCCGCAGGAAGAAGGGCAATAACGTCTTTCCCCTTGATAAAATTCACAAAACATTCTCTTTGTTCTGGCTTTAAATCCTCGATCTCAGGAATCATTGCCAACACAGAATGTCTGTCTTCATCTACATTCATCTCGATGGCTTTGTTTACTGTCGTGTTGTACCACAAAAGGAACCAAAACAGGCCCTTGAGTTTGACGTCATGGCTTTACAGCTCTTCGTTGATTGGTTGATGTGCGGCCTACAACTTCTGGGGTTCTTTTAAAGCTGGAACAAAGAGAATGTTTGGTGAATTTTATCAAGAGGAAAGACGTTATTGCCCTTCTTCCTACGGGATTTGTCTTGCAGTACTAATTTTGTATCTATTAAACAGCTTTACCTTACGTTTATTTAATTTATTAATTTTATTTTATAGCTCAAAAATACCTAGAAAAACATTACCGTATTTTCCGGGCTCTTAAGCCTCCAACCCCATCAAAAAACGACTGCGCGCCCCACAATCCAGAGCGCCCTGTACACGAATCCACTCAGATGTCCCAGCACGACTTCAGTAAACTACAAAGCAGCGCACGCAAACACACACGGAGCAGACAGTGACCACGCAGCGAAAAACACCCACAACCACACTCACCCACCCAACTGTTTCATTTAACCACTTACTGGGCGGGTGGATGGTAAGTGGTTAAAGTCCGGTGCGGTTTATTTGTGAAAAAAGTTCGAAAATAGACCATTTAATGACAGTGCGCCTTATAATTCAGAGCGCATAATAGCCCAGAAAATACGGTAATTCTGACTGTGAGCGGGGTCGCCTCTCCACAGATCTAACCTGTAACTTGGTCTGGTTTGGTCTCCATGGAGATAGGATAGAAAGGTTTAATGCCATACTGTGAAAAATTCCAGACAAAACAATAACATCTCACAGAACATTGGATACAACATTTGACGGACCCTCCACCAGAAAAGTTACACAATACATCTTTAAAATGACACAGATACCTAAAATTGCTCTGTGCATTACCATTTTTACTTTGTTACTTTCCACCACGGAGCTACTAGGCTATAAATACCATCAAGTCCTTCCTCGAGCTTCAGAGCGGTGATTGTGATAAGTCTAGTCTCCCAGTCTCTTCTCTGATTGTCGGTGAAGTGTCTTATGTGAAGCCAGGCAGCGGGAGACAGATGGAGGAGAGCACCCTTGTTCGGGACAGATGGCGGGCCTTGTCTATTTCATTATCCCGCTCTCTCATCGTAGCACCCAAAGGAGACACTCAAATCTTTAGCTCGGCCGGCTCTGTGGCAGATGCACGGCTCCCTGCGTCCCTCTGATTCAGTGCGTGTTGTCACAGGTGATCCATCTGTGGTTTGAGGAGTTTGCGCTGGAGGAAACACAACTCTGCACGGGAGATTTTGTGACTCTGAGAGATGCGCTGGGCGTCATTGGTAAGATCTACACGCTGGGAATAAATGTAATATAAATGTAATAATGTCACTATTTTTAAGACTTGAGACTTGACTTGATAAAATGGAATAAAACCTGGAATTCAACTTGGACTTGAAGCTCAATGACTTGGGTCTTGACTCTACTTTTCTCTTTTCAGTTCATACATGTGGTGCTGAATTTTACAGTAAAACAGGGGGAACTACAAAGAACAAGATCCTTCCATTTCAGTGCAGACTACATTGCAAAATAACTGTTATTAAGCACCTTTAAATCAGAATTATTTTTATTCTGACCATAATGATTCACACTAAGATCTTGTCAAGACATTTAAAAAGGAAAAATTTGCATTTATACAACTGTTTTATAAAAATACCATGACTTTTTATAAGTATAATTTTGTTTAAAAGTCATATAAATGGCAAAAATCTAAGCTTTGTTTTAAAGACTTGAAACGTCTTGAAGCTCAAAACGGACGACTTGGACTTGACTTGGACTTATGGGCCAGTGACTCGAGACTCGACTTGGACTTGCTTGTATTTGACTTGGGACTTGACTCGGATTTGAGGTCAAAAACTTGAGACTTGCAAAACATCGACTTGGTCCCACCTCTGCCTATATTACACAAAACTGGCTCGTGTGAGGTTGAAGTCATGTTATAATGTTGTTACCTCATCAAAAACAGACCTGGGGTTGTGTTTTGTTTCATTCACACATGTTTGAGTAACCCTGGATTACTCCGTTCCACCCTGTGATGTCATGAAGTAGTAGTTTTCATGTCAACAACTCCTTTTGCTTTTTGTTCAGTCGAGATTGACAATTCCAGGCCTGAAATTATCCAGATGATTCTAGTGAAGGTGCATGGAGTTTAAAAACACAGTGCAGTACATTTTGTATTACCATCACAAGGTGGAACAGAGTGTTTTCTGTTTGAGAGAAGAACTGAATATGCAGGATTTGCGTCTTATAGTGTCGTAGTCGAGACTGGCCGTGAGACCACTTTTTACAGTCTCGGTCTTGTCTTGGACTCGAGGTCTGACACTCGACGATCGTATTTCATTACGACTGGTAAATATGCAAAGGCTGCTCAATATCACTGCAAAACCAGTAAAATAATGTAACTGTAAATGTTATGAACATGAAAAAACCCACTTGGTTCACTTTGAAGTTGTCCAAAAAAGGGGCTCAGAGCTTAAGTTTAAATGCAGTACAGTTTGCTTATCTTATTTTAGATAGATTGATTTATAAAACATTGATATATATGCGCCAAAATAACTGTACAAAATTACAAAGATGGTCTCGATTTGGTCTCGATGGGCCATGGTCTCGGTCTTGTCTTGGTCTCGGCCTTTAAAAGTCTGGGTCTTTTCTCGGTCTCGACTCTCAGAGGTCTTGGTCTTGTTCTAGACTCGGGACCCTGTGGTCTTGGTTGGCAGTAGCTCAGTTGGTAGAGCATTCGCCCACTGATCTGAAGGTTGGCGGTTTGAATCCAGCTCTTGACATAAACATCACAGGTTGAGTGGTCAGATCCACTGACCCACAGGTTGGCTGGTGTGATTCCAGTTCCCACAGATGAATGCTGCCGTTGTGTCCTTGGGCAAGACACTTAACCCACCTTGCCCACAGTGTCTGCGTACACTGGTGTATGAATGTGTGTGTGAATGGGTGAGTGGTTCCTTGTTGTAAAGCGCTTTGAGTGCCTTGAAGGTGGAAAAGCGCTATAGAAAAATTTGACCATTTACCATTTGGTCTCAATTAGTGCGGTCTTGAATACAACACTAGTCTGATAAATGCGTGAATGAAACAAAACACAACTCCAAGTCTGTTTTTGATTAGGAAACAACATCCCAATATGACTTAAAGCTCATAAGAGTCAATTCTGCATAATATAGAACCTTTAATAAGAAAACTTGTGTGGATCTGTTATTATTGTCTGTTTTTTTTGTAGGTAAATACTGTGGCTACTCCAAACCAAAGCCGATTGTGACTCTGACCAATCGTCTGACCGTTTACTTCGACACCAACGAAAGAAAAACAGACCAAGGATTCAAGGCTCATTACAAAGCTGTGGCCCCCGAATCATCGTCAGGTACAACGATAATATATAAATATGATCTATTACATAAGGGCGACTTGTTGTACAGTTGTAGGGAGTATTATCTGTTACATAAAGGTGAGTTGTTGTACAGTTGTAGGGAGTATTATCTGTTACATAATGGTGAGTTGTTGTACAGTTGTAGGGAGTATTATCTGTTACATAATGGTGAGTTGTTGTACAGTTGTAGGGAGTATTATCTGTTACATAAGGTGAGTTGTTGTACAGTTGTAGGGAGTATTATCTGTTACATAAGGGTGAGTTGTTGTACAGTTGTAGGGAGTATTATCTGTTACATAAGGTGAGTTGTTGTACAGTTGTAGGGAGTATTATCTGTTACATAAGGTGAGTTGTTGTACAGTTGTAGGGAGTATTATCGGTTACATAAGGGTGAACTGTTGTACAGTTGTAGGGAGTAATTATCTGTTACATAAGGGTGAGTTGTTGTACAGTTGTAGGGAGTATTATCTGTTACATAAGGGTGAGTTTGTTGTACAGTTGTAGGGAGTATTATCTGTTACATAATGGTGAGTTGTTGTACAGTTGTAGGGAGTATTATCTGTTACATAATGGTGAGTTGTTGTACAGTTTGTAGGGAGTATTATCTGTTACATAAGGTGAGTTGTTGTACAGTTGTAGGGAGTATTATCTGTTACATAAGGTGAGTTGTTGTACAGTTGTAGGGAGTATTATCTGTTACATAAGGTGAGTTGTTGTACAGTTGTAGGGAGTATTATCTGTTACATAAGGGTGAGTTGTTGTACAGTTGTAGGGAGTATTATCTGTTACATAAGGTGAGTTGTTGTACAGTTGTAGGGAGTATTATTCTTTACATAAGAGTGAGTTGTTGTACAGTTGTAGGGAGTATTATCTGTCACATAAAGGTGATTTATACAGTTGTAGGGAGTATTATCTGTCACATAAGGGTGAGTTGTACAGTTGTAGGGAGTATTATTCGTTACATAAGGGTGAATTGTTGCACAGTTGTAGGGAGTATTATCTGTTAGATTTCTGGTAGATTTAACTACTATTTAACAGTTTTATATTTGAAGATATTTTCATTAGACGTACAGCACAGTGTATTAAAGTTGTTTTTTTTGCTCAGCGTGTCGAATATTTGTTTTGGAACCCATTCAGTTCAAGTCAAACTGAAGGAAATTACCTCGATTTTAGCATAAAGCACTATTCTTCAGGCCGACCTAGATAGTGAAATGAATTAGGGAGTCCAAATGGAGGTGGGGAGGGGTCTTATTACGGGGGCATATTGCCGCTGTATCCTTGAGATGCTCTGTGACGCTGAAGTGCCCTCTCCATCTCGTTCCAGAAATAACCGGGGCCGGCGGTTTTCTCCAAGGTGACCAGGGGAATCTGCAGACCCCAGGCTCTCCGGGGCAGAACTACCCCCACGATGCACTCTATCAGGTAGAGTCTGTGCACGTGTAGAGTCTGTGCACGTGGAGAGTCTGTGCACGTGGAGAGTCTGTGCACGTGGAGAGTCTGTGCACGTGGAGAGTCTGTGCACGTGGAGAGTCTGTGCACGTGGAGAGTCTGTGCACGTGTAGAGTCTGTGCACGTGGAGAGTCTGTGCACGTGGAGAGTCCTGTGCACATGTAGAGTCTGTGCACACATATGCTGAACGTAGCACTTCCATTATTACTGGTTATGGTTCACTGTATGTAACAACATTTATTTATTTAGTTAGTGTTAATTATTCATTGTGTTATTGCAAATATTATGACCCAGAAGGTTAGTGTCGTAGTACTCGAGACCGGTCTTGGTTTTGAGACCAGCCTCAAGCCCATTTTTTACGGGTTTGGTCTTGTCTTGGTCTTGAAGGCATTTGGACTCGGTCTTGTCTTGGTCTTGAAGGCGCTTAGACTCCGTCTTGTCTCGGTCTTGAAGGCGCTTAGACTCGTCTTGTCTTGAAGGCGCTTAGACTCCGTCTTGTCTCGGTCTTGAAGGCGCTTAGACTCCGTCTTGTCTTGGTCTTGAAGGTGTTTGGATTCGGTCTTGTCTCGGTCTTGAAGGTGTTTGGACTCAGTCTTGTCTCGGTCTTGAAGGTGCTTGGACTTGGTCTTGTCTTGGTCTTGAAGGTGCTTGGACTTGGTCTTGTCTTGGTCTTGAAGGTGCTTGGACTTGGTCTTGTCTCAGTCTTGAAGGCGTTTGGACTCGGTCTTGTCTCAGTGTCGAAAGCGTCTGGACTCGGCCATGTCATGGTCTTGAAGGCGCTTAGACTCAGTCTTGTCTCGGTCTTGAAAGTGTTTGGACTTGGTCTTGTCTCAGTCTTGAAGGCACTTGGACTCGGTCTTGCCTCGGTCTTGAAGGCGCTTGGACTCGGTCTTGTCTCGGTCTTGAAGACGCTTGGACTTGGTCTTGTCTCGGTCTTGAAGGCGTTTGGACTCGGTCTTGTCTCAGTGTCGAAAGCGTCTGGACTCGGTCATGTCTCGGTCTTGAAGGCGCTTAGACTCAGTCTTGTCTTGGTCTTGAAAGTGTTTGGACTTGGTCTTGTCTCAGTCTTGAAGGCACTTGGACTCGGTCTTGCCTCGGTCTTGAAGGCGCTTGGACTCGGTCTTGTCTCGGTCTTGAAGGCGTTTGGACTCGGTCTTGTCTCAGTGTCGAAAGCGTCTGGACTCAGTCATGTCTTGGTCTTGAAGGCGCTTAGACTCAGTCTTGTCTCGGTCTTGAAAGTGTTTGGACTTGGTCTTGCCTCGGTCTTGAAGGCACTTGGACTCGGTCTTGTCTCAGTCTTGAAGGAGCTTGGACTCGGTCTTGTATCGGTCTTGAAGGTGCTTGGATTCGGTCTTGTCTCGGTCGTGAAGGCGCTTGGACTCGGTCTTGTCTCGGTCTTGAAGGCGTTTGGACTAAAACAGAGCAAAGGATCATGGTCTGTGTAGTTCTTTTGTTTTTTTTTAACTGTTGCTGCACCATAGCAACAAATCTAAGCAAAGAGATTTGTAATCTGATGTAATGTGATGGTCCGTGATATTACTGAGAGACTTTTTGTGATGCGACATCATGATATTTTGTTTATTGTTACATCCCTACAGCGAGAAATAATATCTAGGTAGGTTAAAATGACTTAAATTAATACAATTTTGCTTTATTTGAGAAAAAAAAACAAAAACTTTTTGCACTTGGAATAAGAAATAAAATCTAATGTCACTTGAATTAAGAAAAGCACACTTATTCCATTGGTAGATCATTTGAATCTAGTAAAATGTTCTTAATTTAAGACACTTTTATGTCATTTTAATGTTTTTTGTCCATGTGCATGTGTACAGCCTGTGCATATGTAGAGTCTGTGCATATGAACACGTGGATGTAGCCTCATGCTCCCTGGACTGGGGCTGTGCGCTGCCATTAACCTATACAACGGGACACAATGCACCTGCTGGAAATAGCCAACAGAAGGGCACGATAATGGGCTTTAAAAAAAGTGAGAAAAAAAACAAACAAAAAGAAGGCAGTATACAAAAAAAGAAAATGCATATATTTTGTGTGGACTTTAGACTGTCAAAAGTTATCTTATCTTACCGTGTTATAATGTTCCCGCATCAAAAACTTGTCTGAAGAGGTTTTAGACGTGTTTTTAAATTCCACACACTTGCACTAGAATCATCTGGATAATTTCAGTCCTGGATTTGCTGATCTCTTCTGAACTAAAGGTGAAAGGAGGTGTTAACTTGAAAACAACTACTACATCCCATTAAACATTTGAAGTCTTATGGACGTGCAGATCATGTCTGTACTGCGTCTGGTGACGTCTGGTGCGTCTGGACTAAATGACGTGCAAATTACATCCACTATTTGACCGTCTACCTGTGACCCCACGACATAAATCTGCAGTTAAACATTTGAACCACAGACTAGGTTTTTTGGACGTCACAGGGAACACAGGCGCAGGAAAATGTTGTTATTAATGAATATAATACTGTTTTTTAATTATTTATGACAAATATCAGCATTGTTGTTGTTAATATAATTTATTAATTTTGATTATTTGTGATTAAACATTTATTGCATCTTTTTCCATTTATATATTTTGTTATCTCTTTAATTAACTAATTTAGGTATTTATGTATGTTTATTTATTTAGAAATGTAATTTGTGGAAAATTATGGGTTCAACCATAAAAATGGTCTAAAATGGTGACACTGGCGGGCGGCAGTGTAGCTCAGTTGGTAGAGCGTGTGTTCACTGATCTGAAGTTTGGCAATTCAAATTTTGATCTTGACTTAAAACATCACTGGTTGAGCAGTCAGATCTACTGACTAACATGAACATTCACACAGACAATGGCTCCTCTTTTCTGCATCACTATAGAAAAAACAAACATCTATACTGGATGTACAGAAGAGAGTAAAAAAATGAAGATTGGACATACAAAAAATTACCCTAAAAAGATGGTGTTTCAATGTTTCGTTACGTAGTGAAGACATCACAACAGAGCATTTTGAACTCTGGAGATGTAAACAGACTTATAATAAAAGATTACTCAAACAATTGTGAATAAAACAAAACACAACTCCTGTGTTTTTGATCAGGTAACATTCTAACATGAAACTTAACAAGAATTAATTTTGCGTAATGTCAAGTGACCTTTAAGGACACTTGACATTAAAGATGCAAACTAGTGAAGAGTTGAGAGTGAATTATTTGTTGTGAACGTTTGATTTGAAGTTAAGATAAGTGAAGAAAGATCATTAATGTACAGAAGAACTCAACCTAAATATGCAAAGAGTTTGTGTGAATGAAACAAAACACAACTCCAGATCTGTTTGTGATGAGGAAACAACATTATAACACAGATCAGAAGATGGACCCTTTACATTATGAACTATATATTCTAATTGGAAACATCCCATAGTCTCCAGAGCCAGGTCTCCTACAGTTTGTAAAGTCCTGCATTAGTCCTTTCAGTGTCAGACTCGGACGGGGCTTGAGGCTTGTTTTGGATCTGGGGTCATATGGTGTTATTTGGCTGTCATCATGAGCTCATCTCACTGCACTCAGCTCAGCGTCTGTCCAAACAAAACACGGACAGAGAGACAATCATTCATGAATTACACTCAAGCAAAACATGCCACTTGTTTGAGCACAGATGAACGCTGACGGAGCAAAAGACGTAAGGACGCAGTGATAAATAAAGTAATGTTTTTAAAGGGTTCTTATTAGGTTATTTTCTCATCTGTGTTATAATGTTTGGATTGTGTGTTAAACATGTGTGAATGAAACAAAACACAACTGCGGGTCTGTTTTTGATGAGGTAACAACATTCTGACATGTCTAAAAGCTCACAAGAGTCAGTTTTGTGTAATATAGGACCTTTAATGACGTAGCGCTGACGATTGTTTGGTTTGTTTGACAGTGGAAAATTACAGTGCCGGAGGGGGAGCGGGTCCGGCTCACGTTCACGTCCTTTGACCTGATCCCAGAGGTGTGTGGAGACTTCGTACAGGTCTACGATGGAGAGGGTGCTGGCTCCTCATTACTGGGTATGTTAAAAGTGTCAGATAAAAACCGCAGTGAATCCTACTCGAAATGAAGGCTGTAGTAAAGAAATGTCCTGCTGATCAGTTTTTCGACTAAAAGTGGGCGTAGCAAAATATTATGATTATTTCTGAGTCAAACTGCTCTTTAACTACACTTATGTTAATATATATTTATTCACTTCATTTCATTAGAGATGTTCGATGCCCAGTTTGGCCATATACACATAAGTACATACATACATACACACACACATCCATATATACACACACATCCATCCTCTACATTCATTTACATTATATGTTCATAACAGCACCCTCTATGTACAAACATGTGTGGACACACGCACACACCCACACATAAACACACATGCATGTGTACACCCACGCACACAAATACACACACATACATATAAGCACATACACATATATACATATATACAATATACACATCGATGCACATATATACATATGCATATATCCGTACACATACATATATTTCACTACATCTCGTTTATACTTCATATTATAAAGGCAGAGCATATTATCTATTATACTCTACCTTTAATCCCTTTCCCTGATTAATTAGTGACCCCTCACTCTTTAACGACACTTAACCAGTCAAAGGTTTGGACTCATTCAGTGTTTTTTTTTTTTTTTATTTTCATTTATTTTTACTACTTTCCACATTTTAGTCAAGTCAAGTCATTTTATGTATATAGCACATTTAAAACAACCATAACAAGTTGCACCAAAGTGCTTTACAGTATGAAACAATAACACAAATATAAAATATTACATGACAGAGTGGTTTAATACACAAAGATAAAAGTCTAAAGCTGACAGCTTCAGAGTAGAACTCATGGGCTGTTGAACCCAATCTTGGAAAAATGTGTTTTTAGGATAGTTTTAAGTGAGGTAGGAAGGAGCGAGATCTCAGATGCAGAGGGAGGGCGTTCCAAAGCTCAGGGGTCACAACAGAGAAAGCTCGACCTTCCTGGTTTTGGGACGGACAGGAGGGTGAGAGAGTTTGACCTGAGAGACCGAAGACAGAAGACATGAAATATATGAAGTAACTAGGGGATGTAACGATATCCTAAACTCTCAGTACAATATTATCACGATATGCATCTCATGGTACGATATTTATTGCGATATTTCAGGAGGCTGTTGTAATTGTTGATGGGACACTTTTTTGCTTTTAAAATACCCTGGCAAAATGTTGGTGTGAATTATTACTGTCATAATCCCAAGAATTCAAGTAAAAAACATAACTTCATGTTGTCTGCGCTGAAATGAATCATGGGATATGTAGATCCCAAAGTTTATTAGCTATTGCTCCTATAAAAAAATGCATTTAAGAAAAGAAATTTGTAATTCGATATATTGTGACAGTCCACAATATTATTGTGAGACTTTTAACGATACGATCTTACAATATTTTGGTTATTGTTACAACCCTAGAAGTAACATAAATGGAATTATTCATCTGTCTTCACCTGTTAAGCTTAAATTTGAGTTTTGTGTTGACACAGTCTGACCATAAAGAACTTAGTCAGTCAGTCAATTAGTTAGTTAGTTAGATAATTAGTCAGTCAGTCAGTCAGTCAGTTAGTTACATAATTAGTTAATTAGTTAGTCACGCTCACCTTTGACCATGAACGCTCGTATTGATCACGGGTTTTTGAAAATGTGCTGTTTCAATCCACTTTGTATTTTTCCTTGACAATCTTAAAGCCATTTATCAGTGTTTAACGTGTGCATTGTGTCACCATGGTAACCGCTGAACAGTCCACCATAGAGACACAGGCGGAACACCCCCAGCGTGATGTCACTGCACAGTATCTTCATCGACTGAACTGAAAAATAACTTGAATTTGCTTTGAAAATGGTCACTACGATGATTATATTTTAGCTCTTACGACAGCTTTTTGATTACGATTATTATTATGATTAACCAGATAATCTTCACATAACTTAGATCTAATTATTAAAAGTTGAATTTTTGTTTTAACAGGTAAATTCTGTGGCGGCTCCGTCCCCAAGCCGGTGGAGACAGCGATGGGAAACACAATGGTGGTGCGCTTCAAATCTGACAGCACCTTGAGCTCCAAAGGATTTACCGCAGTTTTCACTAAGTCCAGCCTCCCTCCTCCTGTGATCCCCTCGACTACACCAAAACCAACCACCACAGCCAAACCGAGCACCACCGCGCACACGACCGCAACCACCAATCCTCCCACCTCAGGTAAGTGTGTCCCCGAGCTATTCTGCAAGCAATTTAACGCCTCAGTTTTATTTAAATTAACACTTAAAGGTCCTATATTACACAAAATTTACTCTTGTTTAGTCCTGTTTTTAGACCTGGTTTAGACCTGGTTTAGACCTGGTTTAGACCTGGTTTTGTTCTGGTTTTGTCCTGGTTTAGATCTGGTTTTAGACCTGGTTTAGACCTTGTTAAGACCTGTTTTAGACCTGATTTAGTCCTGTTTTAGATCTGATTTAGACCTGGTTTAGTCCTGGTTTAGTCCTGGTTTAGACCTATTTTAGACCTGGTTTAGACCTGGTTTAGTCCTGGTTTAGACCTGGTTTAGTCCTGGTTTAGACCTGGTTTAGTCCTGGTCTAGATCTGATTTTAGACCTGTTTTAGTCCTGGTTTAGACCTGGTTTAGACCTGACCTGTTTTAGACCTGTTTTAGACCTGGTTTAGACCTGGTTTAGACCTGGTTTTAGACCTGTTTTAGACCTGGTTTAGACCTGGTTTAGTCCTGGTTTAGATCTGATTTTAGACCTGTTTTAGACCTGCTTTAGTCCTGGTTTAGACCTGTTTTAGACCTGGTTTAGTCCTGGTTTAGACCTGGTTTAGACCTGGTTTAGACCTGGTTTTAGACCTAGTTTAGACCTGGTTTAGTCCTGATTTAGACTTGGTTGTAGGACTGTTTTAGACCTGTTTTAGACCTGGTTTAGACCTGGTTTAGTCCTGATTTAGACTTGGTTTAGTCCTGGTTTAGACCTGGTTTAGTCCTGGTTTAGACCTGGTTTTAGACCTGGTTTAGACCTGGTTTAGACTTGGTTTTAGACCTGTTTTAGACCTGGTTTAGTTCTGGTTTAGACCTGGTTTAGACCTGGTTTAGACCTGATTTAGACTTGGTTTAGACCTAGTTTAGTCCTGGTTTAGACTTGGTTTAGACCTAGTTTAGTCCTGGTTTAGACCTAGTTTAGTCCTGGTTTAGACTTGGTTTAGACCTGGTTTAGACCTGGTTTAGACCTGGTTTAGACCTAGTTTAGTCCTGGTTTAGACCTAGTTTAGTCCTGGTTTAGATTTGGTTTTAGACCTGGTTTAGACCTGGTTTAGACCTGGTTTAGACCTGGTTGCACTTTCGTGGCCTGGTACCAAACGACCCACGGCCTGGTACCGGTCCACGGCCCTGGGGTTGGGGGCCCCTGCTTTAAACTATAACCATGTACAACTTGGCCTGCCACAATAAGCAATTTTGAGGAATATTGCTGAAGAAAATATAGACAATAAACAACAACACTGAAATACATTTATGCAACTGACACAATAACCCTACAGCAGGATTATGTTTTTAAAAATCCATTCTAAATATTGTTAAAACATGAGCTGCAATAAATAAATAGAAGAACGAGACACTTTAGTAATTATCTTGCATCTGTAATGAGACAAAGAAGTTATTTATTCAACCCCCTACTGCTCGATTCTTATCCAAGCAAGAAAAATGACAAAACTTTCCTCATTAGAACCTCAACATTGTAGTCCGAGCTATAATTTACTAAACCATAAGTCCATGTAGTAATTATCCGTATATGTATATGTTCTATATAAGCGGGTTCAGGTGAAGTGCTGGCTGTAAACAGTGGGCTGAAATAGCTGACAAATGAATGCAAACAGCTTTCTGTTTCCGGGAGCTCCCTCCTGAGATCGCCCTGTTCAGCATTAGATTAAATATATTGGCAGACACAACGCTTCTCTCCAGTGACCAATTAAACCGCTACATAATGAACCTGATCATGGAGCAGTTGTGCAAATATCACAGTAACACAACCCCCATCCATTAGTGCATTACACGAGAACTCAAGTAGGAAAGCTCTAGGGACTGTTGAGCTCGGGAAGTGCAGGGAGGAACTGACTAATGTATGTAAAATCCCTTATTCGTCCAGGTAGGATCCACAGCAAAAGAAAAATATAACTGGATAAAAGTTTTTGGTTGATTCAAAGGACAAAACTAAGAGCGACAAACAAAGCAATGTGGTTTACTCCGTTCAGTGTAGTGAAAACTGCAGTGATCGTTATATTGGAGAAATTAAACGGCCACTTCATAAGAGGATGTACCAACACAGACGATAGAGTGTAGATAATAATAAATCTTTATTTATAAAGCACTTTTAAAAACAAGGTTTACAAAGTGCTGTACAATCAGCAAAGAACAATAAAAATAGCATCCAGAAAGCACAAAATCAGACAATGAAGCGATCAAATCAATTCAATATAATTAATCTTTTTCCCCTCAGGCAGGTCGTTCCAAAGCCGAGGCACCCGGACTGAAATGGCTCGATCAGTCTTCGTCTGGAGCCTGGACTTTGGAACAGTCACAGGGACCTGCCTAAAGATCTAAGGCTGTGGGAGGAGGGCTTGTGCAGGGTTAAAAGTTTTGAAATGTAACTTGGTGAAAGACCTAAACGTGCTTTAAAAGTGATTAGTAAAATCTTAAAATCAATTCTAAAACACAAAATTGACTCTTTTGAGTTTTAAGCTATGTTATAATGTTGTTGCCTCCTCAAAAACAGACCTGGAGTTGTGTTTTGTTTCATTCACACATGTTTGAGTAATCCTTTATTATTAGTCTGTACACATCTCCAAAGCTCAAAATGCTCTGCTCCACCTTGTGATGTCATGTAGTGGTAGTTTCCAAGTTAGCAGCTCCTTTTACCTTCAGTTTGGTAGAGATTGGCAATTCCATGTCTGAATTTATCCAAATGATTCTAGTGAAGGTGTATAGAGTTTACACAACACAGACGATAGAGCAACACGGGACCACAGTCAGTTGTACAACTCCATCTCAAAACCACTAACTCAGGATAGTTGGGTACAGATCTTAGCCGAATAAAAGAAATAATTCAAGAGGGGAGTTAAAGAGGCTATGTTTGTGAAAGACAATCCTTTTTTGAACAGAAATTGCGGGCTCAGACATCATCTGTCTCCCAATTACAACTCCATCCTCAGATCAGAATAGGGAAAATGATAGTGATAGTCTGTATGTGAAAGCACCCATCAGGCACCTGTATGATTATGATAATATGATTCAGACACAGTTCACAGTCTACTTCAGTTGACCTAAATAAAAACAAGAAACAAGTAGGTTAGAGTTAGTTTCACCGTAGTTTCAGTGCACTGTGAAACACAATATATAAGAAAGTTAAAAGGACTTACACTAAGAAAAATTTACTTTATTTGAGTAGGTTCAACTTGACAAGTAATCATGGTCCACTTTTAAAACAGACAAGGACAGTGACATTACAAAACAACAAACATTTATGTTTTTAAAAGACAACCATACCAGTGTCTCCACATACTGGACTGATTTCTTTTTGCACTGAATCTCATATTTGTGAGTGGCATTATTATTTCATTGTCTAATTTGTTCAGCCTGCAGATAAAACTGTGCATTAAAATCCTTAGCGCAGCTTGCAAAGTGTTCACTCGTGCAGTAACAAACATCTCCGTCGCACTCGTCCATTGTGGCCTCCTCAGATTCAAGCAATATTAGATTTTGTTTTGTATTTTAAGTGTAAATAGTTGTTTTTTTCTTATTTTAAGTGTAACAAGATTAAGTGTAAGAAGTATTTTCATATTTTAAGTACAAAAAGTCTTGTTCCATTGGTAGATCATGTTACTTGTCAAGTAAAGTAACTTGGCTAGATTTTAGTTTTTGTATTTGTAGTTAGCTCCTCTTCAGGCAGATATAAGGCAGTGTCCACGAACATCTGACCAGAAATGAATAAGCTGCTTGGATGAGCTGCAAAACCTCTTCACTAAAAAAACAACTTTTATCCAATTGACATAATTGAATTTATCTTTATCTGTATATGACTAATCTGCTGTTTTCTGTGATTTGTGATTCTGCAGGCTGTGGAGGTCCTGCTCTGATCAGTGGGAGAAAAGGCGTCATACACTCCCTGGGGTTTCCAAATGCATATCCGCCCCATCTGAGGTGTAACTGGACCATTACCGTGAGCAGAGGGTTCATGGTCAAACTGCAGATCACTGACCTCGCCATCACAGGAGACGCGGGCCAGTGCGGCGACGACAAGCTTGTCATCTCGGATAAATTCAACACGCTAGGTACTTCACAGCACACTAATGTTCTATATTTGATTTGATTTGTATATTTATTTTGGGCAAGTAAGAAATTTACATTCTTTTACAATAGAACATATAACAGTAATGAAATCACAGCATAAATAACAACAAAAAATAAAAAAACTGGCCCAAAAAGGAGTGGGAAGAAGAAAACTTATTTAATCCCACCTCCCCTCTTCTATATTTGTGAAATTACAATGAAATAATAATATGAAGGAAGTATTAAAGGTCCTATATTACACATTATATTATTATTATTATTATTATTATTATATATATATTATATATATTATATATATTATAATAATAAAAGCACTTTTAAAAACAAGATTTACAAAGTGTTGTACAAGCAGCAAGGAACAATAAAAAATTACATTAGAAAGCAAACAAAATCAGACAATAAAGAAATCTAATTCAATTGAATATAATAAATAAGTTAATAAAAAAAAGGAATAAAAATAAATAAGCAATAAAATCAAGCTAAAACCAGTTAAAGGAAGGCCAATCGATACAAATGAGTCTTAAGAAGTGATTTTAAAGATGATATTGATTGTGTGAGCCTTTTCTCCTCAGGCAGGTCGTTCCAAACCTGAGGCTCCAGGACTGAAAAGGCTCCATCAGCCTTCACCCGGAGCCTGGACTTTGGAACAGCCACAGGGACCTGCCTGAGGGTCTAAGGCTGCGGGAGGAGGGCTCGTACGGGGTTAAAAAATCTGAAATGTAACTTGGTGCAAGACCTAAACGAGCTTTAAAAGTGATCAGTAAAATCTTAAAATCAATTCTAAAATACCTCCTCAAAAACAGACCTGGAGTTGTGTTTTGTTTCATTCACACATGTTTGAATAATCGTTTATTATTAGTCTGTACACATCTCCAAAGCTCAAAATGCTCTGTTCCACCTTGTGATGTCATGTAGTGGTAGTTTTCAAGTTAGCAGCTTCTTTTACCTTTAGTTCAGTAGAGATTGGCAATTCCATGTCTGAATTTATCAAAATGATTCTAGTGAAGGTGTGTGGAGTTTAAAAACACACAACCCCAAGGCCCATGGTGGAGTGTTTTCAGTCTGAAAGAAGAGTTCTTCCTTAACAGGACAGTTCGGAATTTTGGACATAGGACCTCATTTCCTAGTGAGCCAGAGTGTTGGAGACGTGTGGAGACACTTTTTTAAATATTCGATCCAGTCCTTGTATTTGCAGAGGTCGCTGGTGCTAGGCTAGTGCATGTCAATGGCCACAGTTATCCTGCCACTAAAAACAGTTTTACCCACTCCACAAAACACCCGAAGAAAATCTATTATTACACCAGACTGTCGATGTGAATGTCTGGGTCAATAGAATAATTTTAGAAGTAAAACCAACCTTGCATATGAAGGATTTATGTCTGAGCAGCAGCAGCGAGTTGTACTTGCTGATAGAAAGCTCGGCAGCGGCGGACTGATATATGAGAAAATAGTCCCTCAACATGCGACGATTCATATGATGTAAGGTTAATTTGATTTCAAACATTATTTTATCAACACAAATATTTACATCGACAGTCTGATGTAATAATATATTTGCTTTGGGTGTTTTGTGCAGTGGGTAAGACTGTTTTTAGTGGCAGGAGAACTATGGCCATTGACATGCACTAGTCTAGCACCAGCGACCTCTGCAAATATAAGGACTGGATGGAATTTTTTTTTTTTTTTAAAGTGTCTCCACATGCCTCCAACACTCTGGTTCACTAGGAAATGAGGCCTTATGTCCAAAATTCTGGTAAAAATGTGTGAGTGAATGAAACAAAACACAGCTCCAGGTCTGTTTGTGATGAGGAAACAACATTATAACATAGATCAGAAAATAGCGTAATATGGCCCTGACCCTGAAGTATCTGTGCAGAGCATGTGTACATAAATCGATTTACCACCTTCCCTGCTCTGGTTATTAACAGAGGGACTTTGCCTGTGGTGCTCCTGTGTGGTGACCTCTCAGACTCTACTTTATCTTAATCGCGGTCAGCTCCCATAAAACACTTGATTAAGAGCACACAATAAACTATACATTACATCTCCTTGTTATTCTCTTCACTTCGTCATGGAGCGGATACAGCTTTATCTAACGCTCAGCCTAAGGATTTAAAGGTGCATTGGATAACCTTTTCGTTTTCTGGTATTAAACCTTTCTATCTTCAAACCAGACTAAGTTACACATCAGATCTGTGGAGAGTCAACCCCACTCACAATCAGAACGCCTGTTTTTTTAGGTATTTTTGAGCTATAAAACCACCTCTAATTGAATAAATGTAAGGTAAAGCTGTTGTTATACTGTGGAACATTCCAAGCACAGCAATGACATCTCCATAGAAACGAGCAGGTGACGGACCATCCACCAGAAAAGTTACACAATGCAGCTTTAACTACGGAGGTGCAAGTGCAGGTTTTTGAACTGAATACCCAACACAGATCTGATCTAATGATGATGAAGGTGCATGAACTTCTAAGGGGGAGGGTCCGCTACTTGCTTATCTCCATGGAGATGTTATCTATTTGCCTGGAACGTTCCACAGTAGGGCATTAAACATATCTCCCATGCATCTGAATTACAGGTGTTTTATACGCTGCAAAAAAACAAAACCTAGTCAAGTTAAGTTGACTTGAATTAAGAAAGTTTTATCTTGTTTGGGTAAATTTCACTTGACAAGTAAAATTATCTGCCAGTGGAACAAGAGTTTTTGTACCTGAAATATGAAAATACATCTTGCTACACTTAAATAAGAAACAAAACAACAACTTTTGGAACTTAAAATAAGAAAGAAAATCAAAACACACAGATAATTTCACTTGTCAAGTTGAATCTACTCAAAGTAAAATGTTCTTAATTTAAGTCAGGGGTGTCCAAACTTTTTTCATCAAGGGCCACATATCTAAACACAGATGAAGAAGAAGACTGATCGAACTGACTGACTGGAGCTCGATACAGTGAATAATTGAAATTTGTGCATGTTTAACACGTTAGGATGACCCATCAGTCTTTATTCATGCTAAGATCCTTAAAATCACACACTAAATATTAAATATTCGCTTTATCAAGGTAGAGTTTTAAAAAAACTTGCAGTAAAACATGCATTTTTAATTGATGCACGGTAATTTGGGCCAAAGCCTGAGGGCCAAAAAAATTTTTCTGAGGGATGCATTTGGCCCATGGGCCATAGTTTGGACATGCCTGATTTAAGTTATCTTAACTTACCTAGATATTGTTGTTTTTTTTCAGTGTAGCTCAAAAGCTACCTAAAAAACATGATTTTTTATCTTGTGCAGGCTCACTTCTCCATAGATCTGATCGTTAACCTGTATCCATTGTGATTACCAAGTTTATTTCCATTGTTTCTGTAGAATAACAAGGCAAAACTATATCTCTATGGAAACAAGCAGATAGCCAGAAAAGTTACACAGTGCACCTTTAATGAAAACTGTAAACTGCACCGTGTAGAATTTCTAAATTAACTGTCAACAAGAAAAGACATTGTTTTCATAAAAATACGAGTGATTAACAACCGCGCTACCTGACTACTGTGAGAGGAAGTTGTGATAATTGCGTCCCGTCCGTCAGCCCTGTTCTCTCTGCTGGGTTTTATTAAACAGGATTTACAGTATTGTGTTTTGTTTCAGCGACTCACTGCGGACACCTCCTCCCCCCTGTGCTGGTCAGTGCCAGTGACACAGTCTCTGTCACCTTCCAGTCTGACAGTCGCCTCACAGACCGAGGCTTCTCTGCCAAGTGGGAGGCTGTGTACCCCGAGGATATCACAGGTACGGGCACACACACACACACAGACATACACACACACACAGACACACACAGAGCCACACACACACACATACAGAGGCACATGGACACATAAACACACACATAGGCACATAGACATATACACACACATAATCACATAAACACACACACACAGAGGCACATAGACACACATAGACACACATACACACACATAATCACATAAACACACACACATAGGCACATACACACACACAGACATACACACACATAGACACACGCACACACACACATACGCACACACACACATAGGCACATAGACACAGACGCAAACACACACACACATAGGCACACAGACATACACACACACACACACACATAGGCACACACACAGACATATACACACATAGGCGCATAGACACAGATACGCACACACACAGACACACACACACACACGAACACACATACACATAGGCACACAGACATACATTATACACACAGGCACATAGACACAGACACACACACATGGACACATATACACAGATACGCAGAAACACACTCACACAGACATGCACACACACATACACACACACACTTATGGGCACAGATTCACACAGACATACACACATACACTCACACACACACACTTATGGGCACAGATTCACACAGACATACACACATACACTCACACACATACACACTTATGGGCACAGATTCACACAGACATACACACATACACTCACACATAAGCACAGGAATAGCAGCTCTGAGGGGGGCGCTTCTCACCTGGGGCTGATGACAGTTCAGCACCTCACTGAGACCCTCCATGAAACACGTCTCCTCTGTCACATGTGAAGACAGCAACGAAGTCATTGCACGAAGAGCATAAACACTAACAAAGGTCTAGAAGTCTAGAAGGTCGATCCAACATTTCTGTGCGCTTCATACACTCACGCTGCGAGTTTGAACAGCGATGCCACAGACGTCAGACGCCAGAGTTGGAAAAATCTGAGAATAAATATTTCAGTTAGTGATGAAAGTATTTTTGTTGCATTATATGGTGTATCCTTGCACGGTCTGCAAGGATACAGGAAGAACAAACACTTAATCACACAATCCAACATCCCATTGTATTCACTCCTTCAAAGTGTTTCCTCTGGAAGGTCTCGGAGCATTTCCTCTGGAAGGTCTTCTGCCACATTTGCCACCACATATGGCATGAAAAAACTATAGCATCATAACTGTCCATAACCAGTTCCCCAGCTAGCTCTCTAGGGGGTCATCCCTATGTTCCCGCAGCCCAATGGTTCCTCATTTCTAAGATTTTTCTCAAAATGGAACTCAAAAATCATGTTATTTTCATTTGTATACCGCATTTAAAGAGATGAGGATTTTTTCTTTGCACCATAACCGCTACATTACATCTGTATTTGACTGCTGCTGGAGAATAGGTTGGGTGTAATTAACGACCAGATTGGGAGAAATGGGGATCAAATCTGATGCAAATTGATTATAAAGGAAATGCGGGAACATAGAGCTTTGGAAACAAATAGCTGAGGGAACATAGAGCTGTGGGAACATAGAGCTGGTGTGGGAACATAAAGCTGTGGGAACATAAAACTGGTGTGGGAACATAGACCCATGGGAACATAGAGCTGGTGTGGGAACATAGAGCTGTGGGAACATAGAGCCTTGGGAACATAGGGCCATGGGAACATAGAGCTGTGGGAACATCGAGCTGTGGGAACATAGAGCTTAGAGCTGTGGGAACATAGAGCTGTGGGAACATAGAGCTGTGGGAACATAGAGCTTTGGGAATATAAAGCGGAGGGAACATAGAGCTGGTGTGGGAACATAGAGCCGTGGGAACATACAGCTGGTGTGGGAACATAGAAGCTGTGGGAACATAGAGCTTTGGGAACATAAACTCATGGGAAAATAGAGCCGTGGGAACATAGAGCTGAGGGAACATAGACCCATGGGAACATAGAGCTGGTGTGGGAACATAGAGCTGAGGGAACATAGAGCTTTGGGAACATAAGCACACTCCCACTTCCTAGCGAGCCTCCTGCGCAGTCTCCATGGATTAAAAAAAATAGAACGTGTGCTTATTTAGTTTGTCTGAGTGCATATGAGCAAAGCAAATCTGTATACGAGCAAAGCAAATCTAATTCAACACAGCACACTTTGGGTTTATGAACCTGGTCATTCCTTTTATCACAGCAAATAAAAAGATGGTCCAAAAGTTTGATCACTAAAATCAGATGCATAAAAATGATGTGCTCTATAACTTGGTGCAGTGATTCATTGTCTGGAACAATTTTGTGTTTCAGAGATCCAGGGCTGCGGCTTTACTTCCAAAGAGGAAACTGGGATCATAAAATCCGCCAATTGGCCCATGAATTACAAGCCCAATTCCGAGTGCATGTGGAATATTGTGCTTCCTTTGGGGAAAAAGATCTACTTCAACTTCACCCACTTTGACCTGGAGGCAAAAGACATTTTTACATCCAAGTGCTACGACGATATAATGATTTATGACGTCAACACAGTAACGAACAGCATCCAGAAATATGGTAAGTGTATTGTCACTGTTTTTTTATATTCATATGTATTATGTATTATTGATACTTTGCAGCTGATGTCATTAAAATTCCTGGGGGTGTGACGCTATCTGTAGGCACTGCACTGTCTGAAGCTCTGTTAATCAAGAGAGACTTTAAATCAAACACCTAAAAAGGATCATAAAAGTTTGTATTGATCACAGGCTCCTGAAAATGTGTCATTTATACTGCAAAAAAAAAAAAAAAAATCTAGCCAAGTTAGCCAAGATGACTTGAATTAAGAAAGTGATGATATGAGTAAATTTCACTTGACAAGTAAAATGATCTGCCAGTGGAACAAGACTTTTTGTACTTAAAATATGAAAATACATCTTGCTACACTTAAAAAAATAAATAAATAAATAACAACCTTTTGCACTTAAAATAAGAAACAAAATCAAATGTTGCTTGAATTAAGAAAAACACACTTATTCCACTGGTAGATCATTTTACTTGTCAAGTTGAATCTACTCAAATAAAGTTAAAGGTTCTTAATTGAAGTCATTTTAATTTACCGTATTTTCCGGGCTATTAGGCACACTCTTAAGCCTCCAACCCCATCAAAAAAATGACTGCGCGCCTGCAATCCAGAGCGCCCTATACACGAATCCACTCGGGTGTCCTAGCACGACTTCAGTAAACTACAAAGCCACAGCGTACGCAAACACGCACGGAGCAGACAGCGACCGCACAGCGAAAAACACCCACAGCCACACTCATCACTCCACACCGACGAGGAACAGAACGGAGGAACGATCCGAAAAAGCGAGTGCAATGTGCCACTTCTAGACACAACTAAACAACTGAGTCACTACGAACACGCCGACAATCCCTACATGCCACAACTGAACAAAGCCCAGAGTCACCGTGAACGTCACAAACAAAGTCCCACTGACCCATCCAACTGTTGTGTTTTGTTTAAATCCAGTGCGGTTTATTTGTGAAAAAAGTTCAAAAATAGACCATTTAATGACAGTGCGCCTTATAATCTATAGCACCTAATAGACCGGAAAATACGGTACCTAGATCCATCTTGTAGTTTTAAGACTTTTTTGTCACTGTTTGCTAATGCATGCTTTGTGTCACCATGGTAACTGCTGACCATTCCACCACAGACATACACCCCTCGAACAATGTCACCGCAAAGTATCAATCATTCACTATGTTATGTTACTAGGTCCATTCTGTGGGACTAAGTTGCCGGCGGGAATCCAGACTAAAGGAAACCGGCTGGTCCTTCGTTTCCATTCGGACCTGTTAACCGAGGCTAAAGGCTTCAGGGCTCATTGGACTACAAATCCTAGCGTCCCCCCTCCAACTGATCCGCCCACACCACCGAACCCCTGGGACGGAATCGCTATAGGTACAGTTCATTTCAATTTTCCTTAAATCAGCTGAGATGGGGAGTCGCTAAAGTCTGTACTCGAGTAAGAATAGAGCTACTTTAAAATATTATTGTTCGAGTAGAAGTAAAAAATAGTGATCCAAGTAGTAGTTTCTTCAAATGTTTAGGTTTTTTTACTTTTACTTGAGTATTGAGCAGAGGTGGGTAGTACTCACAAGTAACTGCATTTACTTGAGCTAATCTTTTAAGGGAATTGTACTTTTTAGAGTACTTTTCTAGCTGTACACTTCACTCCTACTTGAGGAAAGTTTTTGTTAAAATAACAGTACTCTAACTTGAGTAAAAGTTTTTGTTCCTCTTCCCACTGTGAGCACGTCTCCAAGTGACAAAAGCTTTGTGTCGACAATATGAAACGATTTGAACATTTGTGTTTTTTGCTCTGCTTCTTCAGACAGATTTAGTTTGTCTAATTTTTGTGTCCATGCTTTGAAAATACCAGATTTTGTGCATTATTTAATGTTTTGTCCTTTAAACTACATTAACATCAAATTAAAAATCAGATGTTATGTCCCAACTCTGACTTGAATAGAAGTTTTCCTAAAGTTCTTTTAACTCTTACTTGAGTTATTTCTTAAACCACTACTTGAGTGATATTATTGAAGTAACATAACTCTTACTTGATTTTGATTTGATTGTTTTTGGGGTTTTTTTTTTGTTTTTGGTTTTTTTTTTAATTATAATACTCTATCCACCTCTGGTACTGAGTAACAATTTGAATATAAAATGTATTTAAAATCAGACTTATGATTATTAATGACTTAAAGAGGGCCTCAACACCTAAACTCCGGCCACAACCACTGCAACTGCAACTTTATTTATAACGCACTTTAAAAACAACACAGGCTGACCAAAGTGCAACAGAACATAACTGAATAAAAACAATAAAACAACACATGACTAAAAACTTAATCTAATAAAATGTCAACAACTCCAACTATGTCAAAGGCCAAAGTGAACAAGTGCATTTTTAAGAAGAGATTTAAAAACAGGTACAGAAGAGGCCTGTCTAATGTGTAAAGAAGCTGCTGAACTGGGTTAGTCAGGCCGGCGCCACCTAGTGCCTCCACCCAATTTCATTTCTTTCCAGCGACTCGGTCAGGAAGCGGAATACACTAGACGATTCGCAAAAACCCTGAAAGTTGTAGACCACTCACTGGCCAATCAACGAAGAGCTGTGAAGCCATGACAACAAACTCAAGCGCTTGTCTGGGTCCCTTTTGTGGAACAGTGCTGTGTTGACGACAATTCCCGAGACCGAGGATTTAAAGAAGGATTGAATGGTGAATTTTATCAAGGGGAAAGACGTTATTGCCCTTCTTCCTATGTGATTTGGCGCATTACATACGTCACGACCAAATAGCAGCGATTGGTTAAATAAAAAAGTACTTGCCTACTGTCGAGCGAACAAATCCTAATGCTACGAAGTGAGACAGTTTCCACAAAGTGAAACCGGCTCATGAATCAGGAGGACTAAAGAAAAGCGTGAGGAAGGAAGAGGGGCGGGGTCTGGAGGTATAAAAAACAATGTGATTGATCCAACAAGTATTCACACTTCAAACTCCGCCTCTGCAGCCATGTGTTTGTAATCGGTGCGGTTTTGCATGATGTCACATAGTACTTGAGACCACTGAAAACAGCACACACTTAAATTTAGTTGTTTTTGACCGGAAAGGGGCAAATTTACCTAATTTGCGCTAAAATTTTTACACACTTTTGCTAATAAGAACCACATCTGCTCTTCACAGATAAACACATATTAGAGGTTGGTCCTGTTTGTTCAAGTGAAAAAACTATGTATCAACTTGCAAAAATAAATTAGTTTTTATGTTATCTTTGTAAATACACTGTTTTATCACTTTACTAATTAGAATTAAGTGAAACATTTTGATTATCTGGAGCGAGCAGCCGGTAAGACAAACAAAATTTCGAAAGTGCTGTCAAAGCTTTATAGCGAACTTCTCTAATGGGAATGTTTTTTAATTGCAATGCAGTCTGGGTAAGATATTTTCAGCGCCCAGGACAATGATGCTGTCACCTGCTCAAAGTCTGCTTATTATTGGGGCTAATTTTGACCACAGTAAAGGACACTGAGTTTGGCTTATCCGCAAAGCTTTCCAGAAATAGCAGCTGTTGAAAGTTGCACTGTCATAACGTTAAAGCAAAAACCTTCAAACATCAAAGGCCTTAAAATAGCTTTGTTTTTCTTTCTTTTTCTGCTAGAAATAGTGTCCCAAATATAATTTCTCAACTGTAAAAAAAAATATTGTTTAAAGGGCCCATATTGTACCATTTTGTGATCTGTGTTATAATATTTCCTCATAACAAAAAAATGGGACAGAGGAGGAAAAAGTACTGAAAAATTGGAATTAAGTAAAAATATCTTTCCTTTGCTTAATTCCTACTCAAGTAAAAATAAAAGTAACCATCTAACGTAAAAAGTCTGAAGTAAACATCTAAAGTAAAACAGTACTTTGAACATTTAAAATGTAATTTGAGTAAAAGTTACTTAGTTACTTTCAATTATTTGATGTAAAAAAAAAAAAGGTCATAATTCTAATCCAGCAAAAGTTGTTTTAGTCAACTTTTAGATGACACAGTGCAAACTAGGGCTGGGTATCATTCAGAAATTGCCGATACAATACATATCTCGATACGTAAGCCACGATACGATACACATCTCGATTCATAAGCCACGATACGATACATATCTCAATACAGTGAGCTTATACGATATATTTCAAATCAATTTGATACAGTTCTATAAAAAATAAAGGCTTGTATCATGGATGTGATACTAAAAGTCTTTGTTAAACTACTTCTTGTGCAAAGTGAATATGAAACACAAACATTTTAATCATCAAAACAGTGAAAATGTCAAATGTGTCACTTAAAAAAGTTTCATTCCTCTGAACTGGCAACAAAACTGTAGCACTGTAACAAAATAATTGAGCCAAATATACCAAAAAATACTCTTGGCGATATATCGATACAGCAGCCCACGATATCAATACTGTATCATTACATTAAACGATACGATATATCGATATTTCAATATTTTTGCCCACCCTTAGTGCAAACTTTATTTAGTGCAAACTTTGTACATTTTAAAGACAACTGAGCTCACTCACACTCACCAACACTGAGCTCTTCCTTCTTTTTCACAGAACTTTATAGAACTTAGAACTTTAACTGCATAACAAATTTAACAAATAAAAAAAAATACAATTCAACAAATTCTGAATGATATGGTGCAACTCACAACACTACAATAAAAAAGAAAGAAAATTAAACCAAAATCAAAGTATGCAAAATGAAAATTGCACACTGACTGCTGATATAAGAAATGAAAAAGTGCCATGACGACCTCGATCTGTGACTTGGCACCAGCATCGTCCAAGTTGGTCCAAGACAGACGGACGGTTCTGTACAGTGACTGGACAGTCTATAGTGAAAATGTTGCGTGAGCAGCCTGTGCTATTTCCTTTTATTTCCAGCCGATTGGATAAATTTTTTTTTCTCTATCAATCTGATTTTACTCAGTAACGAGGGTGGATTCCAATTTAATTAAATAAAATACTTGGGTCAAAATATACTTGAGTAAAAGTAAAATGACCTATATCAAAAACTACTTAAAAATTACAAATTACTCATAAAAACTACTCAATTACAGTAACGTGAGTAAATGTAATTTGTTGCTTTCCGTCCTTGAGCTTGGAGTTGTGTTTGTATATTTAAGCTCTAGAGTTCTTCTCTCACACGGAAAACTCTCTGCTCCACCTTGTGATGTCATGTGGTAATACAGGAAGTACTCCACTGTGTTTTTAAACTCCATATGTTGTACCCCTGTATTGTACTCTGAAAATAGAAGAACCACTGGACTGATTTCATGCTGTTTCTCTCATGCAGAAGTTTAATTCAATGAAATATAAACATTATCAACAGTGTGTTTACATGTGGATCATAAACCTGTATGGACACAAGATGGCAGAGTACGAGTTCACAACGCAAAAAAAAACGGATGGTCTTATATAAAAACAAAGCAATACAAAGTTTTCCTAGCCTCATTTCACATTTAACTTCCTACAGATAGCCAGATAACTGTTTTAACAATGTACATATAATAAACGTAAAACATTTGGTAAACCCCACCTGAAAATAGAAGAGCCACTGGTGTGATTTTGTGCAATTTTGTGCAGAAATTTAATACAATGAGGAGAAAGAGCGTGGAGTTTCCCAAGTGATGGGTGAAGGCATTACCAATCACCAAAACAAAAGATCCCAGGCTCAACAGTCGATCACAGATATGATGGATGTTACTGAAAAATAAACTAGAATTTTTTTTTTTGTGAACTTTTGACTATTTTTAAGGCATATTTGAATTAATATTTATTGCAAATCTTTTTACTGTTTTTACCCTCTTAATATGAAATCACACTATGTACCACATCACTGCAACTACGCACAGAGCAAAGTATTAGGGGCATATAGTACCATCGTAACCTATCACCAATGTTGGGGAGTAACAGATTACGGAGTTAAGTAATCAGAGTACAAATTATGAGTAACTGTATTCAGTTACAGTTACTGTTTCAGTGAATGGTAATTGGATTACAGTTACTTTGTTGAAATAAATGGATTACACAGCGGTATTTTCCAGTTTCCAGTTACTTTTTTAATTTCAGTGACACCACTCATTGCTGGAAACTAAACTAAGTCTAAACTAGATCTAAACCAGGTCTAAACCAGGACTAAACCAGGTCTAAGATAGATCTAAACCAGGACTAAACCAGGACTAAAACAGGATTTAACAGGATTTAACCATGTTGCATGGACGTGTCTCCTCCTTCTCTATCAATAATATTTTTAATACGGTTAAGTAAAGTCTGGGTTTTTTATTGTCTTTTAGCAGATAAAACATCTTATGTTACGATATCCTAGTATTTGCTTCTTTCCAGCAAATCAAGTAATCCAAAGTATTCAGATTACGTTACGCACTTTAAGTAATTTAATGGATTACGTTACAAACTACATTTTGGGGTATGTAATCTGTAATCTGTAGGGGGAATACATTTCAAAAGTAACCTTCCCAACACTGCCTATCACACATACACTTTCTTTGGAATCATTTGGGTGATTTCAATTTCAACCCTGCAATTGGCAATCTCTACTGAACTAAAGGTAAAAGTAGCTTAGTTGAACAGAGCATTTTGAGCTTTGGAGAAGTAGACAGACAAATAATAAAGGATTAGTCAAACATGAATGAAACAAAACACAACTCCAGGTCTGTTTTTGAGGACTTAACCACATTATAACATGGCTTAAAGCTCACAAGAGTCAATTCTGTTTAATATACAGCCTTTAACAACTTCTAAACTAAAACCGCCGTTATGAGAGAAGCCTTCCTCTCAGCAAACACACGAGTAGACCTACATCGAAAACACTGTACACCCTGTCCTATCTCTGTCCATATTCACACCTCTGTACACACCTCCTTGAGCCCTCCGATGTGTTGTAGAACAAGGTTTGACGTGGTGGGGAGATAACATGAAGTGGCATGAGCGCCGGCCGCCCGTCACAGTCTTGAGTCGTCAGTAGATGGGCCTCAGGTGGCAGAGGGCAGCGCCAACGCAATCACACAATCACACACACACACTTTCATACATGGATGTGCTGCCCAAGGGGATTCTCGCTACGACTGCAAAGATTGTTCATAATAATATAATGTGTTATGTCCAAGTTACCCTATGTCCAATATATAGATTTGAGAGGCTGATTCAATTACACAGAAATGACCGTTGTGAGATTTAAGCCATGTTATAGTGTTGTTACTTCATCAAAAAGTTGTGTTTTGTTTCATTCACACATGGGTTTAAGTTTATTTGTATAGCACAATTAGTACACAAAGTAACTGAAAGTGTTTTACAGAATAAGAAATACATTAAAATCACAATACAAACAAATAAAAATAAAAATAAATAATCATCATAAAATTTAAAAGAGAGAAACATTAAATTAGAGATAAAGTTTGAATAACCCTTTATTATTAGTCTGTCTACATTTCCAAAGCTCAAAATGCTCTGCTCCACCTATAGTTTTCAAGTCAATAGCGATTTTTTTTACCTTTTGTTCAGTAGACAATAGCAATTCCAGGGTTGAAATCATCCAAATCATTCTAGTGAAGGTGTATGGAGTTTAAAAACACAGTGGAGCACTTCCTGTTTTACCATATGACATCACAAGGTGGAACTTAGGCCCTGTTCACACTAGTACATATTCGAGTCGTTTTTGTTGTGGATGCAGTGTTCGTCCACAATGATCCAATTGAAAACGGCTCCAGAGACGGAACAAACTGGTGCCGCCAGCTTCCACGAATTCATTTGAGTACGGATCTGATCCGGCACTGTGTGGACGCCTGAAAATGTTGATACACTGATGTAGATCTATGCACCTCGAAGTAGCCAATTCACCGCCAAAACGCTAAGAGGCTAAAATATATTCACATAGGTCTATGTGTATGACCTGCAGACGAATAATCTCTGAAAAGTTGAATCATCATCTCCACCGCGACAGAAGCACAGAACAGACTCACCATCAGCAGAACACCCCTCTGTCACGGCTCATGCTCAGTCTCAGTTTATGCTAATTAACTATGCGGTTTTAAGTTTCGTTTCTGCAAAACGTAAACTATGCGTAAAATATGCTCAAAGCTATGTGGATAAGGCAGGATTGCAGACATAGGCTACGTTCAGACTGCAGGGCTTAATGCTCAATTCCGATTTTTTTGTGAAATCTGATGTTTTTGCGAGGTCATTCACATTTCCAATTAAATGTGACTTGTACGTGATCTCCAGTATGAACGTTAAATGGCCAGAAAGTGTCTCGCATGTGCACTGGAGACAAGACGACGTCAACCGCAGCGAGTGTGCTCTGTGTTTATGGAAGTTGTCCAAACATGGACGTGAGCATTGAGCACCTGGAGATTTTAAAGTTCCTCTCGTACCGGAGCCAGAACATGAACAACTTACTTGTTTTAAAGAGGAGATTGAGAAGGAGAAGGACGTGGCCGTGGCGTTTTGTGGGGCAGCGGCAGCGACGTCCGTTGAAAGGAACGTGTGGATGCGGAGACGTAGCCAAGAGTGGTGAGTGGTGATGTGCTTCGCTTCAGTGACATGGTGTTCATTAACAATTTTCGCCTACTTCAGCGCAGAATAGTGACGTTTGTGGCTTGTTGATAACGTGTAGGTTGGATGAATGCGCTTTGGCTGTTCACACTGAAGTCGCATGTCAAAAGATCAGATATGTATCGGTTTTAGGACCACATATCCAAGTGTCCTGGGTCGCATTTGAAAAAATCTGATCTGTTTCGTTCAGACTGTCATTAAAAGATCAGATACAGGTCACACAGGGGCCAAAAAATTGGATTTGGGTCACTTCAGGCTGCAGTCTGAACGCAGCCATAGAAACAATGTGTGTGGATGCAGATCGTTTCCGATATGGGGATATGGTGATACGTGGATTCGTGAATGGGGTCTTAGACTATGTTCAGACTGCAGGGCTTGCTCAATTTGGGATTTTTCTGTGAAATCCGATTTTTTTTGCAAGGTCACACACATTTCCAATTAAATGTGTTTTGTATGTTATCTCCAGTGTGAACTTTAAATGCCCCAAAAGTGTCCCCCATGTGCATTGGAGGACACGACGATGTCAACCACGGCGAGCGTGCTCAGTGTTTACGGAAGTCGCCTAAATGCTGGGCTTGTCTCCCAAAATACGGTCCAGTTCTTGGTAAACAGGACAGGTTACACGTCCACGACCGCTTCGTTTGTTTGAGTCTTTAGTCTCCTTGTGTTTGGCTCACAGGCTCTTTATTTTTCGTTGACACTGGAGCCAGGATCGCCTGTAGCTGTGCTCAGACATTTCTTTGGCAATCATTTGAAAACTGCCGGGTTCCGATAAGACCCCTCCAATTTGGCCTGAATACAGCGATCCCCTCAAATATTAATTAACTCACTATCCTTGATTTCCCTCCATTGACCAGACTTTGAGCCTGACGTGTAGGTGGGATGAATGTGACCTGGCTGTTCAGACTGAAGTCGCATGTCAAAAGATCGTATCGGATATGTATCGTTTTTAGGAGCACATATCCAAGTGGTTTGGGTCGCATTTGGAAAAATCTGATCTGTGTCATTCAGACTGTCATTAAAAGATCAGATACAGGTCACATAGGGGTGAAAAAATCGGATTTGGGTCACTTCAGGCTGCAGTCTGAACGTAGCCTTAGTGTTTTCTTTTTGAGAGAATAGCTTAAATATGCAGGGTTGGTGTGTTAAACATGCGTGAATGAAACAAAACACAACTCCGGGTATGTTTTCGATGAGGAAACAACATTATAACATAAATCCGAAAATAGCGTAATATGGGCCCTTTCATTCTTTTTTTTCACAGACTGGCCAAGCACTTGTGGGAAACCAGCGATCCCTCCTTCCATTACGACGCGCATTGTGAACGGAGAGCCAGCCAAACCCCACTCCTGGCCCTGGCAAGTCTCCATGCAGGTGAGAGTCACAGTGAATATGCACCAAGTTACATCACATTACATCAGATCAGGCCCAGGTCTACAGAGATGCAAAGGGGGGCAATGCAACTTCAGTTAATCATGTTTGCTCCCTAAAATAAAAGGTGCACTGTGTAACTTTTTGGTGGAGGGTCCATCAAATGCCTTTTCACCATGAAGATGTTATTGCTTTGTCTGGAATGTTTTACAATTTGGCACTAAACCTATCATCATGGAAACCAAACTGGATGGAGTTACAGGTCAGATCTGTGGAGAGGCGACCGAGCTCACAGTCAGAATGCCTGTTTTTGTAGGTGTATTTGAACTATAAAAGCACCTGTAACTTTAACTTCTTGGGTTCTTTTTAAAGACAATGCAGTAAAGTGTGTTTACCTTGTTGACATGTTTCGGCTGCTAGCTGCAAGCCATCTTCAGAACTGTCACCGGTGTTGGTGGTGACGTGTCGTTTATCAGCTGTTGTTACTTCCTGTAGGCGTGGTCAGACCTGATGGACCTGGCAGGTCGCTTAGACTGACCACGCCTCCCGTCGCCCGGTGTCTCTGGAGGAGGGTGTCTCAGGCGTGTGAAAGGAGGAACGCGCCGTCATCACGGTTAATGCTGTCCGTGCCTCGTTTCCTGATTTCAATGGCCTCCTTGATCCAGCGTTTGAACTTGTTGTTTTCCGATCCAATGACCCGAGCCCCGTCCCAATCCATAATGTGGTTGTTCCTTTTACAGTGTCTGATATGGCGGATTTTAGGTTTTCCTGTTCTGCTTTGTCTTTTTGTGTTCTGGTGAGTCTCCCTGACGTTTCCTTCTCGCATTCCTTTTGGTGTTCCTTTTTTCGGATGTGAAATGCCTGGCCTGTTTCCCCTATGTATGATTTATTGCATGATTTGCATTGAATTTCGTAGATGGCATTGCATTTTTGTTCTTGTGGGATTTTGTCCTTGGGGTGTACGAGCTGTTGACGGAGTTTTGTGTATGGTTTTACTACAGTGCTAATGTTGTGTTTTTTCATGGCTCCTGTAACTAAATAAACGTGAAGTAGAGCTCTGTTTAATATCATACTGTGGAACATTCCAGGCAGTGCAATATCATATCCAGACCCACACCCAAAAAGCTACATAGTGCACCTTTAATATGTAAGCCTATTATGTAGTGTTGGGTACCATTCACAAGTTGCCGATACAATACATACCTCGATACAGTGAGCTTACAGTTCGATACGATAAAATAAAATATAAAATCTAAATCATGGCTGTGATACCAAAAGTCTTTGTTAAACCATTTCTTGTGCAAAGTTCATATGAAACACAAACATTTTAATCATCAAAAAAGTGAAAAAAAAAAAAAAAAGTGTCAAATGTGTTGCATAAATGAGTTTCCTTTCTCCAGACAAGCAACAAAACTGTTAGCCAGGCTGGCACCACCTAGTGCCTCCACTCAATTTCATTTCTCTCCAGCGACTAGGTCAGGAATCAGAATACACTAGTTTGCAAAAACCCCAGAAATGCGAGTCCAGGCACCAGCCAATCAGCGAAGAGTCATACATTCTGTGTTGGCAACGATTCCTGAGATCGAGGATTTAAAGCCGGAACAAAGAGAAAGTTTGGTGAATTTTATCAAGGGAAAAGACGTTATTGCCCTTCTTCCTACGGAATTTGGGAAAAGCTTAATATACCAGTTAGACCTGTTAGCGGCGCAATACATACGTCACGACCAAATAGCAGCGACTGGTTAAATTAAAAATGTACCCACCTACTGTCGAGCGAACGAATCCTAATGTTGAAACCAGCTGATGAATCAGGCTACAAAACTGTAGCACTGCAACAAAATAATTTAGCAAAATATACTAAAAAATACTGATATATCAATTCAGCAGCCCACGATATCAATACTGTATCATCACATTAATCAATACGATATATATCGATAGTTCAATATGTTTGCATGCTCTTACTATTATGTTTGCACCATTTTGACACTCAAATGCACCCTGAGTCAGTTTGGTCTACACATGGGCCTGCATCAGATACACAAAAGAGATTATTTGGTTAATTTATGTAACTTTGTTTCTTTCCAGGTTTTGCCAAATTCTCGACCCACTCACGCGCACATCTGTGGAGGGACACTAATCCACAAGAACTGGGTCCTAACAGCCGCCCACTGCTTTATCAAGTGAGTATTAAATAGGGCTGGGAATCATTCAGAAGTTACCAGTACGATACATACCTCAATACAAGCCCATTTTAATAATCAAAACTGTGAATATGTCAGATGTATTGCATGAATGAGTTTTCTTCCTCTAAGCAACAAAGAGTAGTTCCTCACGTGTGTCTGTTTACATCCACACAGCGCAGATCGAGGTGAAGCTGCCGATTAGCGATAGTGACTCTACTTCCTGTGTACTTTATTGCCAAACTTTTATGCTTAAAAAATAATGTATCTGAAGTATTGTACCACATTTCATAAATAATAATAACACAGTTTTGACTTGTATCTAAACAGAAGTAGAAGTGCAGAGCTCTGATCTTTTGAACACTTAAGAATTTCAAAGCAAATGGTTTTAATGTAGACAGGAAACAGCTGATGCGCAGCTGTGTCTGAGTCTGACCCAAGTCCAAACATAAGTCCTAAATATTTGTCAGAACCTGCCGGACAACTTCAGTTGGGTTTCCATGTTCTGCATCGCATTAAATGATACAATATATTGATATTTCAGTATTTTTGTACACCCTTAGTATTAAAATATAAAAAAATCAGATACTAATCGACAGAGGTGGGGATTTGCAAGTCGTGACTTGGACTCGAGTCAGACTTCAGGCAATATTTTTAGGACTTGAGACTTGACTTGATAAAATGGACTTGGGACTCGACTTGGACGTGAAGGTCACTGACTTGGGACTTGACTCAGACTTGCTCGATGTTACTTGAGAAGACTTGATGCTTCTCCTAAAAAAATATATGTTTTTAGCAAATACTTTTCTATTTTCAGTTGATAAATGTGGTGCTGAATTTTACAGGAACAAACTGGAACATGTCCCTCCCACTTCTGTTTGTTACTTTGGATGTAACTGAAGTACTGTGATGTAGAATCCTCAAAAGTACTACAGTAATATACAGTATAATACAGTAAAACAGAGGGAACTAAAAAGAACAAGATCTTTTCATTTCAGTGCAGACTACGCAATAAAATAACTGTTATTAAGAAGTCTTAAATCTTAATTCTTCCTATTCTGACTGTAATGATTCACACTAAGATTTTGTCAAGACATTTAAAAAGGGAAAAAAAATCATTTCTACAACTCTTAAATAAATACTCATATATAAATATACCATAACTTCTGAAGTATAATTTAGTTTAAAATTCATATAAATTGCAAAAATCTAAGCTGTATTTGGTTTAAAGTCTTGAAACGACTTGAAACTCAGAGCAGACGACTTGGACTTGACTTGGATTTACGGGCCAGTGACTCCAGACTCGACTTGGACTTGCCTGTATTTGACTTGGGACTTGACTCGGACTTGAAGTCAGAGACTTGTGACTTACTTGAGACTTGCAAAACAACGACTTGCTTCCACCTCTGGTAATCGATACGAAAACTTGCACTGAAACTATTAGTGAGCAAATATCGATACTAAAAAACCACATTCACAGGACAGAAATGAGCCTTTCCTGAGTAGCTTTAGAATGATTTTGAACTGTTTAAGAACAAGTATAAAAGCACATAGACTAGTATACGCCCATGGACCACAGATATAAGGTTGTATAATCATATAAAAGCTGTCGTGATGCTGCTTCAGGTTTGTTAGAGTGTTCACAGAGCCTTGTTAAAGATGTCTCGACAGTCACGTTAGCTAATAGTCTGATAAGGAGCCGTTTAAGCTGACATCCTGGAGACATCTCAGTGCGCACGAGGTGAACAAACGCAGCTAATTAACTCAACTTCTGTAAGAAAAAATAATAATAATACGTTTCAGCTTTGAGCATCAAAAGGGTGTATTTGACAAAGCAATCACATTCTATTTGCTTAATTACACTTGACCTAAAAGCGGAATTTGAAAATATACATAAATAACTTTGTGAAGATGCCTTAAAGGTGCACTATGTAACTTTTGGGTGTTATTGCTCTGCCTGGAATGTTCCACAGTGTGACATTAAACAGCTCCACCTTTTATTTATTCAATTACAGGTGGTTATAGAGCTCAAAAATACCTAGAAAAACACATATTTTTACTGTGAGCGGGGTCGCCTCTCCACAGATCTGACCTGTAACTTGGTCACGTTTGGTTTCCATGAAGATAGAAAGGTTTAATGTCATACTTTGAAACATTTCAGACAAAGCAATAACATCTCCATGAAGCAAAGCATTTGACAAACCTTCCATCAGAAAAGTTACACAATGCAGCTTTAACAGTGTTGGGAGTAACGCGTTATAAAAGTAACAAATTACTGTAATGCATTGCTTTTTGCTGTAACGCAGTGATGTTCGGCATTACAGGGAAAAAAAATGTAATATTGTACTCAGTACAAATGTGAGTAACGCTCTTTACAATGCTTTTTTAACCTGGATTAAAGTGGTGGGTTTTTCTTCCTGCAAATTCACTAAAATCACCACGATATCAGCAGCGGTGAAACACCGGAGATGAGCCCGCGTAGACGTAACGTAACCGCGAGTGAAAGGACCAGTGCAGAACTCCGCGCTCCACGGGGTGAACCATTGCTGACACTCTGGTTTAGTGCTAGTTTAGTCCTGGTTTAGACTTGGTTTAGACCTAGTTTAGTCCTAGTTTAGTCCTGAGTTCAGTCCTGGTTCAGCTCTGGTTTAGTCTTGGTTTAGACCTGGTTTAGTCCTGGTTTAGTTCTGGTTTAGTTCTGGTTCAGTTCAGGTTCAGCTCTGATTCAGTTTTGGTTTAGTCCTGGTTTAGACCTGGTTTAGTCCTGGTTTAGTCCTGGTTCAGTTCAGGTTCAGCTCTGATTCAGTTTTGGTTTAGTCCTGGTTTAGACCTGGTTTAGTCCTGGTATAGTTCTGGTTTAGTCCTGGTTCAGTTCAGGTTCAGCTCTGATTTAGTTTTGGTTTACTCCTGGTTTAGACCTGGTTTAGACCTGGTTTAGTCCTGGTTCAGTCCTTGGTTCAGTCCTGGGTCAGTCCATGTACAGCACAAAAGTTCAACATCTTTGCAGTTATTTTGGTGAGAGTAACTTAAAAGTGCTGCGATAGTAATGTTTTTACATTTTAAATGCAGTAATATTGTAATGTAACAAATTACAGGAACAAGTCATAAATAACGCATTACAGTTTTAAAGTAACTTGCCCAACAGTGTAAATGAACGGTGGAAAGTGCTCAAAATGGTGCTTATAGAGACCCTGCATGTGACATCAAGGCCTTGCTCTGATCAAACGAGCCAGACTTCCAACAGACCTCCATTGTAACGTTATTAAGTCACCTGCCTGAACAGTGTTGCGCACAGAGCTGTAATAAGCAGAGAGATAAAGACACAGGTTCAGTGGTATCGGATCCCGAGTGAAGCTGACAGACGAGACAAGTGGAGCTGCCATCAGTGTGCCAAATACCCGTCAATAGTCAAGGGTCCCCATCTCCGAATTGTTGAGTGATGCTGATTCAAATGTGAAAAAAGAAAAGACACCACAGTGGACAGCCTAAAATGAATAGGCCCTATTCAATTGATTCAACTTCTAAAATGAACTCCATTTAGCCTCCTGTGAGAAATGCTACAGTCAGACTAGATCCAAACCAGAGTCTGCTGCTGTTTCCCGAGCTCAGTGCTTCTGCTGCGGGCTGATGTGGTGAGTGTGTACAAAGTTCTGCATGCTGCTGTTTTATCAGTTCAACTTGAGATGAGGATGGCCCGTGGTTTTAATGGGGAACAATAGAAACCTTTCACAATTGGAGGAACATCAGGAATTTTGGGTCCAGGTCCGTATGGGATGGCGTATGGACTATTTCTTTATTTTATTTTATTTTATTTTTATTATTAATTTTATATAATTTTATTTTATTTATTTTAATTTCATTTTATTTTACTTTTTTTTTAAATTATCATTATTATTATTATTATTATTATTATTTATTTATTTTATTTATTTTTTTAGGCTTTTTAGGGGGTGTAATGGGTTAATCGTAGGGGTGTAACAATAACCGAAATATCGCGATATCGTATTGTCAAAATTCTCACAATAATATCGTGGACCATCACAATATATCGAATTACAAGTCTCTTTGCTTAAATTAAGAGTTATGGGGCAGCAGTAGCTAAAAAAAGACAGAACTATGTAGACCATGATCCTTTGCTCCGTTTCAGTGCAGACTACAAGAAGAAATAACAGTTTTAAGCACTTTTAAGTCTTAGTTCTTTGGATTAAGTCTCGTCAAGGCATTTTAAGAGGAAAAAGTCACATATTAATAGTTTTGTTTGCCTCCACTAAATATCGCAATAAATATCGTACTGTGAGATGTATATCGTGAAAATATCGTACAGAGAGATTTGGATATTGTTACATCCCTAATCGTGAGCCTCCCCACCATATCATGACCTTTCCTACGATATCACAGTAAATATCGTGCCGTGAGGTTCATATCGTGACAATATCGTATCGTGAGACTTGGATATCGTTACACCCCTAGTTAATCAGACACTGACTGCGGTCAAATCTGTGAATTTATGACCCGACCACAGACAATCCACGTTACTAGAATGCTGACTACTGTCGTTGAGACCGTCAATATGGCGGCCAAACAAAAACGGTCACGTGACTGCAGGGTCTCCATCAACAGGACATTGACTTCCACAAATACTCAGGCTTTACTGGCACTGGAAAATGTTAAGACATCAATATCGACTTAATAAAACTTGGATTGTGAATATTCAGTATTTTTCAGTGGTCAGAAAAGCTTGTAAGTAGCTATAAAATAATCTTTTGCTATATTTATCTGAATTCTGCCAAAAAAAAGTTCAATCTTAAATGCAAAATGATGAGATATTAGGACTTTTGCCATAGCGATTATATTTATGTTATGTTATTCATCAAATATGGAACAGTGGAACATTAATTAACACGTGTTTGTACAACATGTATCTGTGCCAGTCATGTCACCGCGGTCCCTTTGGCAAGACACAAAACAGGACACAACAAAATACAAAACATTCACTCCAAACACATGACTACCATCTTGAGGTCTTATATTACACAAAATTGACTCTTTATTACAGCTGACAGTCATACAAAAGCATAGTGCAACATGGGTGTACAGAGTGAGTCAAATTATTGTTATATGCTGTAGGAAAAAGAGGAGAGAGAGAGAAAAGAAAGTGGGGAAAACGACGAGGAAAGGACAGATGGGAAAGGATATACAGAATTTTATTGCTAGGAGTTTCACAGATTATACATCACTGGAGCACATTTATTGCACTGCAGATCTTTAATTTTGGGGCCTTTTTATTTCCAGACACTTCAGCTGAAAGAATGCAGAATGTTTTAAATTACTGTGAAAAGCAGCGAGGCATTTAATAAATAAAAAAATGAAAAAAATAACATGATTCTGCCCTCTGATTCACAGTTACGCGGACGAGCTCCATCGGTGGCGCATGTGTCTGGGCAAACACAACCTGACCTTCACCGAGCCCACCGAGAACTGCCTCAATGTGACTGGCATCTACCGGCACGAAGGCTTCAAGTACCCCACCGTGCCCACCGTGGAGTTCGACATAGCCCTGGTCCGACTGGATGGGGCAGTGACGCCGACCGACGAGATCTCCTTCGCCTGCCTGCCTTCAGAAGAGGAGGTGCTGCCTGCAGGGAAGAAGTGCTATGCGTCGGGTTGGGGAGATGAAACAGGTGCTTTAAGATCGTTTCCTGCTAAGGGTTTGTGACAGGGAGGTTTAGAATGGAGTTTGACAGAGAAGTTCGCCCTCTGGTGGACGCTCTGGGTAAAAACTGTTATAAGAGAAGGTATTACTCTTCTATGGGGTAATATGACCAATACAAATATTTACGTTTTAAAAATGTATAAATATTTTAAACATGTCAATAAAACAAAAAGACTGTATGAAATAAATATAAATCCTAGTCTGAACCAGGTCTAAACCAGGACTGAATCAAGACTGAACCAGGACTAATCTTGGACTTGAGAAACAGAGAGAACCCGGAATCCGTGGAGCAGGGTGTCCACAAAGTGCGGTTGTGCGACAGCTGC